AATAAAACACAGAACAAATAACTTTCAAATATATCATAATAGCTCAGCTTAATTATTGTATTACTACCTTCCTCCAGATGTTTGGAGGGATTCGGAGTCGTTTCCGTCATCGGATTCAAAACATAAATAATGACCGAACTTATCGCTCCGTATCAGAAGAGATAATTTTATTAACAATAGTATAATATTTTAATGTCAACACCAATAAATAAACAAAGTTAAGTGTAAATAAAACAATAAATAATGATTATAGGTAAATGAATAATGATAAATTTTAAAATGTACAGTTAATTAGTAATGTGATTATGATCTGCAGCATTATTATAGATATTTTTTATTGTTTTTATATATTATTTTATTGATTGTTTTTTTTTTGATAATATATTTATTGTTTGTTCCACATTTGGTACAAAGTATTAGAAATAATTTAATTATTGCATGTTATATAAAAGAAACTGAAATACTGATACGGAGCGATAAGTTCGGTCATTATTTATGTTTTGACTCCGACGACGGAAACGACTCCGAATCCTTCCAAACATCTGGAGGAAGGTAGTAACATAATAATTAAGCTGAGCTATTATGATATATTTGAAAGTTATTTGTTCTTTGTGTTATTAAAAAATAAATTGAAGATATTATAGGTAATCAACACAAACATATTCCTATTTTGTGTTACAACAAAGTGACTATTTTAGAATCTGAATTGAGCGAAGAAGCTTATGGTTTTACAAAGATCTGTGGGCAACTTTTCTACCAGAAAACTTGCTCATATTTTTACGTGTATCAGTTTTTCTGAAAGGAACTTGGTGTGAGTAGGTAGGTACTTTTGGGAAGTCATTTTTTGTTTTTCTCATCAAATTGGAAAAACCGAAAAGAAAAAAAACGGGAAAACATAAGAAATATAAATACCTATTAGTTAAAATATATGGTTATACGGTATTTTCTACCAGTAATTTTGCTCCAATTTATAATGATAGGAATATTTCTAAAAGAAACTTTGCATTTCAGCAAGAAGAAATGAATAAAATGATAAATGATTTATACATTTTAAAATACATCATTATTCATTTACCTATAAACATTATTTATTGTTTTATTTATTTATTGGTGTTGACATTAAAATATTATACTCTTGTTCAGATTTGTTCTTATGGTTAAAGCCTGATGATGTAGAAGACTGGGTCTCAGATTTTTAATTTTAGAGATTAGCAGTGTTTATCAAACGATTTTGATTAATATTTTGTATAAAGCTTTCAGGTGGGAAATGTTCTTATCTAGTTCAATAAAAAATAAACTTATGTTTCCTGTGTCAATAAATAAAATCAAGTGTAAATAAACCAATAAATGTTTATAGGTAAATGAATAATGATATATTTTAAAATGTATAAATCATTTATCATTTTCTATATTTAATATATACAGAGAAAAAAGTGTACAGTCAATTAGTAAATGTGATTATGATCTGCTGCATAGATATAGATATTCTTTAAAGAATTATTAAAAATCATAAATTTAATGAAAATAAAGTTGATACTTCAAAATTTTCAGAAGAATAAATTCTATAAAATTGCTATCTTTAAATATTTTAAAAACAATAAAATGAAAAGTTAATTGAAATATAAATATTTATAGTCTTTATCACTGTCACATCCTATCCTATGTATATATATATACATATTAAAACAGAATTTGACTATAATCTCTGAAGACATTAAAATTAGTCTTCAAGGTACTTTAGGGAGTTTCATTTTTTGATTTTTCGTATTAACTATTTTGTTGACAATTGTTGTTAAATTACAAAATATTTTATATGGGAAAACAGTTGGAATAGCTCTGATGGCCTGATAAAAACGACATAAGTTCCAGTGGCGTATATAGGGAGAAACCATAGGCCCAAGTCCATAGTTAAATTTCATTATCAATTAAAATATTTTATGCATATTTCTTTAGGTATTATCTACATAATATATAGTATATTACATAATCATCAAAACATCGTCTATAGCCTGTACCTACATTGCTTTTTAGGTATACACAATTGTACGGCCAATAAAAGGCTATATTTGGAAAATATGGAAAATACTCGAGTCTTAAATAAGGTGACACACACAAAGGATGTTTTATAAGGTCAGTCTTTATTTCTGTGTAGACTTCAACACTACGTCTACTCATAATACAAAATATCTAAATTTTAAATTTTAAATAATTGGTTGTTAATAATAAGTATGGTGATTTTGAGGTAAAACCTACTAAGTACAAATAATTGTGTAGCAAAACATTTTTAAAATGTGGAGAGGCTGGTAAAATCGTTTATTTTTAGTAAGAGTATTATTATTTTATATAATTTACCTAATTTACAGGCGGGTATACATGATTAAGTTCAACACTAGGTCGAGCATAATTATAGTACTATGGAATTAGAGTGTTTAGCAATTAAATTTGGTGTAAAGGAGAAATTGAATAATAATGAATATTACCACCCAGTAAAACAATAGGAGATATACAGTATTTTATGTTAGAAATACCATTAAAATTAAAATACGAACCGAACATCGATATAATTATGATGATTATTTAAACGGTCTTAAGCAAAATGTACAAGTCGCATAAAAACGTTAGAGAGAAATTAATTGCGAAAAAGAAAATATCAAAAGATAGATCAATATAAAAGGTGAAATTGATCGTATACACATCAAAAACCTAATATTAATAAACGATAACGCACATAGAAATAAATTAGAATCATTACTGTTAGGCCAATTCGAGATAATTGAAATAGTTAACAATGAAAATATAATAATACAACGCGAAGAAGAAATGTAACAGTACACAAAAACCATGTTAAAATAATATTACAATGATAAAGTAACTAAGAAAAAATAATTTATTAAATAAGATCAGAAATATTGTAGGTATAAAGGAAATAAATGGTAAACAGAAAAGGTACCTTAGGGCTATTATATTATAAACTAAATTTGAGCAAATTATCACGGATAAGATTTCTGATTAACAGTACACAATACTTTTTGCTTAGGATCTCAAGGGTATTCTTTAATAGATAAAAAATAATAAGTGATCATTTTACATACACACACATACATACATATAAAATGTTTTGACAAAATTAAAAAAAATCTGATTGTTATTATACTTAATCATAATCTAAAACCTACAAATAATATTCAGATTTAAAAAAAAAAAAAAAAAAAAAACTAAATTTTTAATATATGAAAGCAAAAGTGTAATTAAATATTAATTATTAATTATAAGTGATAATTAAATAAAAAACATAGGATTTCCAATAGTGAATAATGCATTCAATTGATTTTTAACTTGCTCCTCATCCAAACGATTGAGATTTATTGTTTTGCTATATGAACAAAAAAAAAAAAAAAAAAATTATTCAATAAAATAATAGTTCAAAATAAAATAGCTTACTTTTCAATATAAGTGCGTGCTCTAAAAGCAGCCAAACGAGCATAGTATGTTGGTGCTGGATATGCAACTGAACGAGTGCAACGAACATACATAAAACATAAGTAGAAAGTAAGTTGTTCTAATTCATCTTCTGTTAAATTATTGTCATCCCAAATAAGATGGTACTTTGTTGGTTTGGTTGTTCCCTTTAAGATTATATTAAACGAAGAGTTTAAAATTTCAAACTATGATCAAAAATTAAAATTAATGACTAACTTGAATACTAGTATGACTACATAAGTAAAAATCAAATTTGCCATCCATGTCTTTTGGATATTTAGGGAATATTCTAGTGTGATGCCGTTTGTGTACAACCAAAAATGTTATGGGTGGTTGATATTTCATATTTAACCGTAAACAAGCACGCCGGATAGCAATAAATTCATATTTCAACAAATGTAGAAATTGTCCATCGCTAACACCATCCCTGAAGTAGAATATCTTTGTTGGCACTGTTTTTGTTTTATCTTTATATTTAATTAATTGTTTGTGGACAATATCTTCTAAATCTTGAATGATTTCCACTTTAGGCGATTGCAAACGCCATTCCATATTGTATTGGCTTCCAGATAAATCGTGACTTGCTGCAACCTGAAATGCAATTGAAAAATATATTATTAATACTAAAATAATTAGGTAAATACAAAATTATTGAGATGGTTAATATTCTTAAATAAATAAATGAATTATGATAAGTGTACTACATGGTTTCGAATTAAAAATTCATCATCGGATATATCATAGTGGAAATGTTAACCGTGACTGAATATAAAAAATTAAATGAAGAAATACATAGAAAAAAAAAATGTACAAATTGGACTTTTTACACAGAATATAGAAATAATTTATTTTAATAGGAGAGATTATTTAAAATTAGTTATTATTAAATGTAGATATGTTAAGAAATATAAATTATTTGGTTATTATTTTTTATCTCACATGTATTAATATAAGATATTTTTAAAATCGGTTTGAACATTTAAAATATTATTAAAATTATTTTTCCTTGTTTCATTGTGTATGTGTAATTCTTCTAACACTGAACTAATGTAAACTTTATTTTGGGTACTTAATATTTCAATAATATAAATATCAATATCAATATTTAATATAATGGTGATTAGAATCATGTGGTATTAAAGAAACAGTTTATATATGTTTCTGGTAAATACAAAAATCAAATTTATTGTATATTATGGAAACTGTAAGATCTAAAAATTTCATTTATTATTTATTTGTATTTCGAGTGTAAATTGAATGTTTTCATTTCACATGTTTAAGTAGTCAACTTAATTTTCTACTTGTCTATTTAAATCTCTAATATAAAAATATCATTAACATATCTATAATATGCTTTTAAATATGGACTATATATTTTGTTGTAATAATATTATTGGTTTCATAATTTTCAAATAAAAATGCACTTAAAAGACCACCCAAAACTAGCTCTTCTGTTTGCGAATATAATTTATTTTAATAATAAATTTATTAATTTTAATTACCTTATTTTTATGTATAGATTTTTTATTTATATATTTATTTATTTATGAGTATTAACCATTTTAATAANGTTGTTATTACTCTATTATTTTATTATTTAATAATTCTAATTGTTGAAATATACTCACAGCAGCAACTGAAGGAATAGTAGTTTGATTTGGAGATGGATGAGTAACATCTGCTCCAAAAATAATCGCACCTTTCATACTGCTAGGGCTAAATCACAGTTATAGTTAAGAATGTATAATATATATATATAAGTAATAGCTCATGTTAATTTTTTATACAGTAGAACTGATTTAGTGCTGTTAGTTTTAATATTAGAGCGTATTGCCTTATTATCAAATTTAAAAGTAAGAACATGTATTTTTGTATTTGTAGATTTGTATGTGAAATATTATTATATCTAGTTTAAAAATTTAAACATAAAAAAAATAATTTTAAAACACAATGACTACTTTTAAATTTTAGAATAGAAAAATTCACTTCGATATTAGAGTTAAAAGTACTAAATTGGTTTTACAGACTTTGACTTTGTAGAATTGTCAACATTAATTGTAACAAATGCAGTATCCTACTAAAATACTTATTGCAATATATTCTGATTTAATTATGATAATCAAGTTCTTTTTTTTAATTTTTTTATATTACTCACAGGGATAAGGACTGCAAGTATATATATTTCAAATATTTTAATTAAACAAATATTTATTTTAAAAAAATAACAAATCCACCAAATTTTATTAGTTTTGAAAAATTTGACGATGGCCTTTGCAAAGAATTTATTCTTCTGAAATTGTTAACTATTTCAACTTTTTTTTTTCATTCAATTTGTAAATTTTCATAATTTTTAAAGTTAATAGAAAAAAAAAATTGCACTGTAATTGTATTTGCTAATAGATAATTATTATTATAGCTAATTGACTATACGCTTTTTTCTCCGAAATTTAAAAAACAATTAATTTTTTACCAAAATATAAATAATTGTAGTCTTTATCCCTGGTTAATATACATATATATATATAAAGAAAACAAACAGAATTTGATTATTATTAACTTCGAAAAGTGTTAGAAAATTAATGATTTATTAATGATTTATTAACGATTAGTAAATATTTGTAATAACATTTTATTTTAAAACGTATTTTTATAAAATCTTGAATTTTTGTAAAAACATATTTTTATTTTTATTTTACTAAAAAGTAGATAACTCACAGCACAAGAATCAAGTAATTATTAAAACAATAAATTATTTTAGATGTCAGATCTTTGTGTTACAGTCTGTATATTATATAGAACTATAGAAACTGTAAAAAAAATTTTTCAAATGTTCAATATCTGTACCCTAGAGGTAAAGGAGAAACCAATGTAACAAAATAGCAATTTTGTAGAAAATAAAATTTTCATCTATACATTTATTTTTATTCTTGACTCATATGAATTGCTTACAACATTTTAGTTCATTATTACTAATATTCTTAACAAGTTAACAAGTCTACATAGTTTTTTATACCTCTAAAGAAAATGGACATGGTTTCATTTTCCATCACTTTATTTCCGTTACTTTTGATAACTGAATATAGTGCCCTATGCCTTTTTAATAGGTTAAAAATGTAAAAGGACATAAAATTATTTAAATTTCATCAAAAATGGACATGTTGTCCTTTACTTCTGAGATACAGACATAACATATGCAGTAATAAATATATAATGAAATTATATGATTATTATTATATTATGAATTTTGAATCATATTATAATATTAAGTTTAACAAGTATACACTGTTAATAGTAAATTAATTTTCATGTTTGGTTATTTTAAAAATTATTTCTAATAAATGAGAATTTATTTTTTAAACAATACAGCTTTATGAAATATCCTTATTTGTACTGTGTTGTATCATGAAAAGTAATTTTTAGTTTATAAATACAATTATCAAAAAATATTACCAGCTACTTGCGGACAAAGTATGATTGATTCCGTTCAATTTTAAATTTATTTTCAACAAGATGTTGCCAACTGTAACATGATTCATTTTAGACATAGTCTTAGATTTAATGCACTGGGTGAGTACACCGACTTGCAATTCTGAAGCTTGTTTTATAGTAGCTAAACAAATATAATACATTTGATTATAAAATTATTATTTATAATAATTCAAAATTAAAATTAAAATGCTTTTATCATAATAAAAATACATTAATAATTTAATCAAACACTATGTTAAAAATAAATAAAAATCTTAAATGAGGATTAAAACAGGTGTCCTATTATAATAGGAGTGGGTGCAGCCACTGTTGTAGGTGGGAAGTTGATAAGCTCTGATATAGACGGGATTTTAATATATATAAATATGCAATGATACGCCATTGCTATCGAAAAAACGATTCTGAGCAGAGTTTGGTTGACAGTGTTGCTTTATCAATAATATGTTGTCATATTATGATAAAATAATTAAACAAGCATTAAACCTTGAATAATATTTGTTTAATAAAGTTCCTATTTCCCTAATTTTTCTAAGATTTTTTCCCATTTATTAAGAAAACTCCTGGGAAAATCAAAAAATGACTAGTGAAGGTCTAAAGTATCTCCTTAGTCAGATTTATTTTCATTTAAAGTGCTATTATTTTAAAACCAATACATTCCTTGCTCCACTTAGAATCTAAAATGTATAGTAAATATTTATATTATTATTTATTATTTACCATATATTCCTTGTGGGTAATCTGGAATAACCACCATTACTAGTTCCATTGGGGGCACACAATTTTTTACTTTAATCAAACATTTCTGAACATATTTTTCAATGGCTTTAATAGATTCATTTTTATTAAAAATCACATTGAACTCAGGATCCATTGGATTTATCATAACATTTAATTCTTTACCACTTTGTATCAGCATTCTCTCAAAATTTCTAGAATATAATACAATGATAGAAATATTTTATTAACATTAAGGCAAACAGTTTTGTACTTATTTATTTCTTTTGTTTAAATTATATTTTTATCATATTGATAGTCATGGGTATTCCTTGGAAATGTTATTATCTACATTATAGATAAGCTTTGAAGTGCTTAAGTTTAAATAATATAATACATAGTAGACATAAACTTATTGTGATGTCAAAAATACAATAAACATCATTCTGTGTAATTTATTATTTTATAATTAGTTTATTTGTGAGTGTTTTAACAACAACAAAATGTAAGAATTGTTTTATATCATGTATCTTTAATATATGTTAAATTTTGTTTACAACAATAAAATGGTTTTTATCATTTGTATTTGTTACTCATACATTATTGGTACACACTTACATAATTCCACTATATGACAATAATATATAAATTAAAGTTTAAATTACATTAAACATATTAATATTTGATGTGTATGATTAACATACCATATTAGGACTGTTGTGAAAATTACAACACATGTCTTGTTTCAAATAAGCCATTCAAAAGTTAAACAAAAGAATAATATTAAATTATTTCACTTACTTTATACTTATATGATTAGTCTGTTTATCAAAATTGAGTACAATCCATCTTGAGAGTTTTACAGCCTTAGAAAATTTATCAGCTTTCCAAACACCAGCCTTTGGTCTAGTTTCCTGTTAAAAAAAAAAAAAAAAAATTAATTATAGTTATTAAAAATCCTGATTTTTTTTGATTTTTTTGTTAGGGTTATGTATTATAAATTATAAATTAATCAATTTTAATACAATAGTTAAATAATGATTTTGAATCGAAAAACAGAATTATTTAGCTGTAATTATAAACTTTTGTTTTAATCTGTTTGCTACACCATAATGTAAAGTAATGAAGAAGTGTTATAACTGATGATAATCGAAAAATTTAGTTTGAATTAAAGAATGGTTTTTATCTTGGTTTTAGGAGGACAAATGTCAAGTGTCTCTCATATCAGTTCCAATAATGAAAAGTGAGAATTTGTAAAAAATAGATAAATTATTAAGAGTAGTGCAATGACAGATATAATTTCTGGTTAGCTTTCAAAAAAAAAAAAAAAAAAAGCATCAATCAAATATCGACAATAAAAAAAACAACAAATTGTTATTATTATTTTAGAAAACATAACAAATATTATATCAGTTACTTAATAAAAAGTTTTGGCAAAATAGGGATACAGGAAAAACACTGAACAAATATGATTTTTTTTTTATTATTATTTAAAATTGATTCATATCAGTTTAATATTTCTTTCCTCCAAAATAAAGATAAAGACCAACCCCATAGTAAATAAGTATACTATAGCATATTTTATTATTTACAATTCACTTTAATTAACTATTGACACAAAGTTGTAATTTAAATTGTATTAGTTGTATTAAAGATAATTTTTTCAACTTATTTACTTTAAAAGTTTGTTACACTTGTTGTCTCTGTCTTACAAATGCACAATGTTAATTTTAACCATCTAACAATTTTTTTTAATGATGCAATGGTATAAGCACAATAAAGGAAATTCGCACTGAATATAAAATGTCCAAAAAAGTTGTATTTATTTTGTTACAATGCACAGTGTTAATGGGTTAATATTAAGAGTGAATTTGATCATTTGTTTTGATTTTTCCCATGAGTTTTCATAATAAATTTGGAAAATGTACAAAATGTATAAATATAAAATAATAAGTATTAACACATTTTAAAACATATATAACCAAACTATTGAAAGCAAACAGGCTCTGGATCATTGAGATCTATCAAGACAATTTTAATTAACAGGAATTTAATTTTAAAATTAAACTTTCATAAATATTTTATCTTCTGAATAAACCTGTCATTGAAGTATCTTACATGGGTAATTTGTTTAACATAAAGCATTTGTATATAAAAAAAATATAGATTTCCACTTGTTTTCATTACACTAGTTTTGTGCATAATATCTAAAATGGACAACCACTTTGTCAGTCATATAAGCAGTATAATTGTATTGAAGTTATAAATTGATTAAAGATAAAATAAGGTTTTTCTTGTCAAATATCAACTTTTTGTTGAAAACATTAAACTACAGCCTGCAAATTTACTATGAGATACATTTGTAAACCGGAGATAATAAATTCTATTGTAACCTTCCACTAAACAATTAAAGCATACCTTATTTTGGTAATATGCCAAAGAAGGCTGATCCAAAACTCTTCCTGAAATAGTGGCAAATTGTTCTTCGACATTAATACCAAATTCTTTCAATACTGGGTCTTGATTATATTTTATGCCTTTTATACAATTTTCAATAGTTTGTTTCTGTTCAATAGATGATTGAGCTGTTTTTTTTACCATTTGTGCAGTTTGATTTTCGGTTAATTTGTTCATCCTTAATTGTCCCCTTTGGACAGTACACAACTAAACCAAACACAATAGAATATTCTAATTAAAAAACATTTATTATTTATTCAAGTAAGCATAGTTCAATTATTATTTTTTTTTGGTTAATAATTATTAACCAAGTGCAATGTATTACTACAATTATTAGCTGTGATTTGGCCTCGGAACAGTTTAATGATTAAGTTTACAGTTATAAATTCTGGTTACTAAATTGGCAAATCATACAAGTTGTTTAAATTGGTTAATGAAATATTTGTTAGTAAAAATTTAAAAATAATTATTTTTTAATTTTTCCTGTCCTTTTTTATAATATTACTATTAATCATAATTGTAATAGTTAATGTAATAGTTAATTATAATATAGTTAGTTTTTGGTAAATAAGAGTTTCTTAATAAAAATGTATCCCTAAATTGAATAATTATGAGACATTAAAAATGTATTTGACTAAAAAAAAAATTGTATTCTATTTATTATATGATTTAAATATCTAAGTCCAATAATTAGTATAACATTATTCTTTTTACCAGTTTGAAATGGACAGTTACATGGTACATTAAACATCTGCTAGAAGAAAAATTGACCATTAATAACTATAGTAATAATCATTTAACAGTTACTCAACAGTTAAACTGCACAAAACACAGATATTGTACACAAATTAAAAAAAAAAAAAAAAAATAGATATAATCATGATAATAATCAAAAAAAGTAATCAATAATAGGAGTAATATTTACTTCAATAGGAACTGCTATTTTTTTATTAACATTACCAACATGTAAACAAGGTAAATTTGGATACTTAATAGTATAATTCTTTGTTATTTTAAAATATTGAAGAACAGTAATCATTTTTTTTGTTTTAATCTTGGTTTCATCTTTATCATCATCATCTATTTTAAATCTAAACAAACAAATCTGCATTATATTCTTATTTTATTTGAGAAACATATTATTCGTTTTATTTTCAAAATTATTTGAATTAATACACAACATAAGTTTCTTAAGTTTAATAATTGGTAATTATTATCCTGATGCCTGATGATCCTTTGCTCAAAATTATTTAAAATCAAAAACCACTCAAAAATGTTTTTATGACCGAGTAAATATGTACTCATACATAGTAGTTTTCTTTAATTTAATTTTTAATAGCTAAATCTGCAAGAATGGAATGTGACAAACTAATAAAATATGTATAGAATCCAACTGTGTTACGGTATGTAATCTAATAGATATGTTGAATTAGGTTCAGAAGTATAATCCACAATAAATAATATGTGAATTATACAAATACGATTGATAAGCTTATAGGATTGAGATTAATTATAACAATATTTTTAATTATTCTGGCAAAATAGAGAACCTAGAGTTATTTTGATTTTCTAAGTTTCACATTTAAAATAAATGATTCATTATATTAATACCAGTTTAAGATACTTACATAAATTTTGATGCACTTTCAAAAAGACCGTTGACCTTATATGCACGTTGAGTATTTGGTTTATTTGGAATCATAAAACGAACTTTTAATCCTTTAACATAATTTGCTAATGTATTTTGAGATATAAAATCTAGCTCTGTATCAAGAGAGCAGTTCAAATCGTTTTGGATATAAGAGGTCAATAGTTGATACTTGGGAAAGTCCTTGTGTGCGACTAAAAAATTAAATAAAATTACTTAAAACATAACATAAGAAAATGCATATAACATGAGACCATAACATGAAAGTAGTATGTTCTTAGTAATATTATGTTATATTTACCATCTATGTTCAAATAAGGTTTCCAACCAATAACATGACTTTGGAAAAATCCTTTCCAAAGTTCCATTCCTTCACCCAAGTCATCTGGTTGAGAATCTGGTACAGGGAAAAATGACCTACCGACATTAACAAACCTGAAACACAAATTATTTCCATTCTATTATGAAAAAATATTTTTAAAATTGCAACCATTATTTATTTTAAACAAATTCATTTGCTTAAATCAACAACATTAATAAGTATAGAAGTTAAATAATACAATATTATTTTCATGAAGAACAACAAACTGTGAACTAACAAATTTCATGTATTTTACAAGTGTGTAAAAAGTCAAAAATAAATCACTATAATTTGTTATCCAAACATTATATAATATAGGGTGTCCCACAAAGAAATCCCTATTGACGTGTCTTCTGAGATAAAAAAGATAATCAAATTCTGGTTTTTTTTTTTTTTTACATAATTCAAAGGACTGCTATTATTTAGATATTAATTAAATTTTTGTTTTGGTAAAATGTATATTATTCTTTTCCATAATTTATTTATTATATAGTTAATTTTTTGAAAATGTTGATATTTCAAACTTTAATTTTCATGAACTTTATGATTTTAAATCTGTAACTTTTTTTAGTTCAGGGTAAGCAAGTACTAAATCAATCAGAGATTACCAATCGCCCGCATGACAAATGTTAAAACCGACAAGATAAAAATAATAATTGAATAAATAAATTATTAATATTTTCAGAAATATACATACTATAAAATGTCTGTATTCTAATTTTTTTAAAATAATAAAATAAAGTTATTTTTTTTTTTCTATCTTGATTAAAACAAAAATGTATTTAAAATATGAATATATGCAATCCTTAAGGTACGGTTTCAAAGGCGCGACCGGTCACCACGACAGTCACTGTCCGACTGTTAGTATGTAATTCTTATTGACTGGTTTCCAACGCGCGACTGTTGTCCATGACTGAACTTTATCGTGCAGTGTATTGTGACTGTCGCGTGCGACCCTTGATTTATTTCATACACAAACCAACTCTTGGGTAGTGTATTTCGACTGTCCCGTACAGCAATATGGTTAAATCGCATTTTTCGGGAGAAGAAAAACAACTGATCGAAATGGTTCGAAGAAATTTTGAGTTGTTTGATCTATCGCACAACAAATATAAAAATGCAGAACATAAAGAATGTCTATTTATTAAAATTTCAAAGTATCCTTCACATTTCATATTAAGAAAAAGTGCATCAACTTTTTCTCTCTGATTGCATTGTGTTGTAATTAATAAATCATCATCCTCTTGCTCTTCTTCAAGAAGAAGTAACATTATTTTATTATTGTTATTAATCCGGAGACCAGTCGCGCCTAGGAAACCAGGACGCACCAACAACAGGTCGCGAAGACTGGTCTCCATGACCGGTCGCACCTAGGAAACCTTTACCTAGTATTTGATTATCTTCATTAAGATTCTGGAGATTTCCCAATGAGGATATTTCCACGGTACACTATATTGTAGGAAAATTTGATTCCAAAACTCTTTTTTTAAGTTGGATAATACAGAGTATATTATAATCACTAGATTTAGATACTACTAACCTTAATGCAAATGGCCTGTTTTTCAAAACAATATCTAATGCTTGAAATGCTTCTCCAGGAGGACAATTAGATGATCCATTTATCAAATATTCTTTAATCTTACCCATATTTATTTGATTAACAACTGATGTAACAATGGTAAAGTCAATAGATTTACCATTTTCTTCGTTTAGAACAGTGACTAAATCACTTTTCTGTAAATAATTTATGAGTTGAAAAACACTAATTAATAGTTAAAACTAGTTTATTTCATAAATGAAACCAAAAATAATGAAATTTCAAATAATTAAAACTTTTTAAGATGATTATAATATGTGTTCCACTATTATTCAAATTAGTATATATTATTGGCTTTATGTCTAAACAACTTGGAACCCGAGTCAAAAAATCATTTTTTTTGTAAATTGAATAAATGTGATAAAATATTTAAAAAAAAAAAAATTAATATTTTCTCTAGCAAAGGTTTTGCCATAAAATGGCAAAAATATTGTCATTATTTTTTCTCATATGTCACGTTAGTAATTAAAAATATTTAAGTAGTACTTCTTATACAGTAAATAAATGTATTATACCCCTCTCAATTCTGTTGTAACATACATATTGTTTTTACCATCAAATGCAAAATGGATACCTCGATAATGTTTTTCGACAAACTGTTCCAACGCAGTTCTAAAAGTAAATACAATTGTTCATTATAAAATTTGATAAAAAAATAATAATAATAATAACAATGAATTGTTATTTATTTATTAATTTAATTTATCATAAACACAGTATCAAGTTACCTAAGAAGTCGTTTGGGCAATTCTGGATTAAATTGACAGTTAATATGATAAACAGTTTTTTTGAACAATTTATCAAGATCTAGAGGAACATGGTTCACATGTAGTTCAGTTTGGCGTCCTAATTTGCCTGCAGCTTTTGGGTTTTTACGTTTTGGAATAACTAATTTGTTTTTTAATATTTCAATTTGTTGATCAATTTGTTGGTTACCAGCTTAAAATGACATAAAATTGTATAACTATAGTATTTTGAATTTTTAAATGCATATAAAATAAAAAAATATTTTAAATACTTGATTGGATTTGAATTTTCTCCGGAACATTTGATTTTGAAGAAGCAGTTTGTTCATCTGCAATAAATATGTGTTCAAATTAATATTATTTTTTAGTCTACCGAAGAAATAAATACATGCAATTTTGTAATAACATCACATTTTCTCAATTTAAGCAGAGCAAATTAATTTTTTTTCTTTAATTTATGTGCATGTCAAGAGAGAAATTGTAAAATGTTGCTCTAGGTCTTATTAGACCTAACACAACAAAAAGGTGTCCACAAGTAATATGTTCACATTTTTATATTTTTACACACCATAGATTTGGCTGACAGAATTTTATTACATTATATTATTTTTATTTGTCTATTTTTTTCTTTACCTTTAAGTTGTTTTTCAGAAACCTTAGTTGGTTTTAGCCCTTTAAGTTGCTGCTGTTTTTGCTGTCCTATTTGTGGAAAATCATTGGCTGGTTTTTTCTCCTTTAGCTGCTGTTGTTTCTGTTGTTTTGTATTTTGAGAAGACGCTTTCGGGAAATCGCTTTCACTAACTTTTTAAAATATTAAGTAAGTATTAACCCAGATTAATATGTAATTTTATCTTATTAACAGATAAAACAGTAGACCGTTTTTAATTTATTGCATAAAATATAACAGATAACTTAAATAATATTGTACAAATTGTACAACCTTTGTAAAATTAAAAGTTTTTTTTAAACTTAGAATTTAAACCAACAGTTTGTATCATATCGTGTCGATAATGAAATGTTTTTTTTTCCCTATTAATTAAAAAAGTATTTTATACTAATTATCCTTTTAATATATACAGACTGTCCCACGAAGATATATCACTTGAATATCTCCGGAGATAATAAATATAACCAAATTCTGTTTTTTATACATTAGTCACAGAGAAGAAGACTAAAAATATTTATTTTTTAACATTTTTTTTTTTATTAAAAAATTGAAAAATTAACTTTATATTTTATTCTATACCTAGGGAATAACCTAACCGTGTTACGGGATAACATCGGTTTTCACACGAATTAGTAAAATTTAAAGCGGCTGTTACTTAGAAACTATTCATCCGAAATAAATGTGTGATAAATTAAAATTTCAGAAGAATAATCTTTACAGAATGGCTATCTTAACATTTTCCGAAAATAAAATAAAGTTATTATGTTTATTTTTTTAATTAAAAAAAAAAAAAAAAAAAAAACTAATTCAAATATAAATATTTTTAGTCCTTTCTCTGTGAGTAATACAAAAAAAAAAAAAAAAAACAAAATTTGATTATCTTTATTATCTCCGAACATATTTAAGCAGTATATCTTCGTAGGACAGCCTGTATGCTATTTAATTTCTGTTATCGCTGTACCTACAAAAAAGAAAAGGTATCCAATATTCAGAGCATTTTGGAGGACAAAAATGATTACAATAAAAAATATACTATCAAATGTAAAGGTTTTAAAGAATGGAAATAAATAGATGAACGTAGATAATACAAGAATGGCCCATTAGCAGTGAACTAGTAAAGTGAATTGTGATAATGATATATTCTATTGAATATATGTTACTACGTGGATCAAAAAGACCTACAGAATAACTTATAAATATACGTAATCGCAATAACCAAATTTATTTCTATATTATGTTATATTTTACTAACTAAAGTATGTACTTATTTAAGGTACACGGAGTAGGGGTAAGCAATGAAAAATGATTTTAAAATAAAGCCTAAACTATTCCATAATGATAAGAAAAAAAGGAATCAAATTTAAAAAAACTCTGAGATAATTGATGGTTCATGATACAAAAATTCATTCTGTACATATAAAACTAGACCACATAATTTTGGGCGCGATGGGCAGGTCATCTTAACTTGGTGGTTTTAAACGCAAGTTCACTATACCCAATATCATGAAATTTAAAATAAAATTAAAATGAGCAAAAATATTTCAAACATTTTTGTACAACTACAGTAAATTTTGAAAAAAGAAAAAAAATGTAGATAGGTATAATATGTAATGTTGAATGTAAATAAAATAGACGCTCGAAGTTTTTAAGGCAATGGGCAAATGGAAACAAAATTTCAAAATATCAAATAGGTAAATGTTAAACAAGACGTTTCACCCGTTTCTCAAGGTCAACTAAAATGTACAGAAATGTATATGTAAACTTGGTTAAGTAATATATAAAATTAAATTTGAATAGTATTATTATACTTACTCTTCTTTTCGATTTCTTTCTTTCTTGAACCATCTATAATTAAACAATACAAATTAATTCATAACCGAACATATTGAAATCATGTAGACCGACTATAATAATACAATAGAATAATACCTTGTTTTCTTGCATTATTAGCAGGATTTTTTTCCATTTTGTAAAATAACGGAGTGACAATGTGAAATACTGAAAACAAAATTGGCGAAAGGCGAAACGACGTACGTCGAATGAAAAAATTAAATGCGGTAATGGTGTGGTTCGAGTGTTCGACAATCGATTGGCTTTCTTCCTCAATACTCACCGTTCGTCCTTTGTTACAAAATTGTAAACCATCACTCGATCAACTAAAATACGGGTGGTAGGGTATCACGAGAGTTTATCATAGGAAAACGAACATGTTTATAATTTGAGGTTACCAGAGGTTTTATCAATAAAGTTGTATACACGATTACAGATGTCTTATTGTGGTTGTAAACTTGGTCAAAAATAATTATAAGTTCATAGCTCATTTTACTTTTATTTAATATGAATTAAGCTAGTTAAACTAAATTAGTGCTTTATAATCATATATAATCATTATTTGTTGTGTATTAATATTTCAACAAAAACATTCAAATTACATTTTAATTAATAATTATATACCTACATAATATGCTACTTAAAAAAGATATATATATATATATAAATCTCAACTCTGGTTTATAAAAATTTGGCATAAAAATAGTAGGTACTCAATTTAATTTATTCATGTATGAAATTTATAAGTTTCGTTAATTTAGCCCTGGCATGATATTCCTTTATATTATCTTAAATATTTTTAATTTCGAGGATAAATACGATAGTAATAATATCAAATTTTATTGAAATTTCTAGTTGAAATTGTTTTCATGTACAAAATTCTAATAAAAATCAACATTTTATCGAAATACTTGAAATTGATAAACAAAATTTAAATATAAATATGTTGATTGAATTGTTATCATTGTGATAAATATTTAATGATAAAACTCCTTGCTATGGGAGTGATAGCAGTATAAGCAGGTTGAGAAATATTACGTACGCCTATGTAGGATTATGAAATGACTAAAACATAATAATATTTTGAATCACGGAAAAAAATACCTCGATTTTAATAAAACAAAATCTCAATTTCGAAATAATATAAATAATTAATAATAAGTAATATATACTTATTATAATATAACAAGTAAAGGATTCTAATTAAAAATTAATATTATAAGAATGCAATACAATCTAACACTAATAGTTTATTATTTATTTTTTTTACAAATACGATGGCCAATAATAATTAAAAACTCTTCTACTGATATCTCATTATCAGCCACCCCAAAGCATAAGATTCTTAAGCATTTACAATATATAGATTTTTTTCTATTTTCATAAACAAATTATTAATATTTTTACTTAAATTACTAACTTTTAGTTTCTTTCATTATTAATAAACTAAGAATTCAAAAAAAAAAAATCTGACTTTTTCCGTTTAATAATTATTTGGTCGGACTTTTTTTCAGACTCTAATATTCTGTACCCACCGGTGTCTTCTACTTTAAATGTTCTGGTTTAAATATTGTCCGGAATAAATTCATATTTATATACGTGTTTGGGCTAGGTGCACAAAATACTATTGCACTTTCCCAGGCACTTGTACTTCGTGCGCACCACCTTGTTGCGGCACGTACCTACTCGGTCGGCAGGACTGTGTATTTGTGTGCATATGTGTAGTTATAGCTCAGTCAGAGTGGTTAGGTTCGCCGCACAAATCCGTACTACTTGATGGCATTGAGTGTATGTATGTGTAGGTGTGTAACTTTAAACTATGTTTATAATGGATCAAATAAATTAATGGTAAACAAATTATAATATAGTTATCACAATCTTACCTATTACGAATGGTTGTGGCGATTTGGGCAAACTTGGAGTGCAGATTGGATCGCAAACTGGCCAGCTGGTTCCTATAGCCTAAAATAATATAATGTCACATCAACATTAACAGGAGGTTCATAAAAAGTCATACTTGATGTAAAAAAAAAAAAGCTTAATACAGTACTTTTTAAATATTTTATGAAATTTTGACAAAAATCATTTTAGAGAAAAATATTATGTGAAACAAATCTAGTTCATGCAAATTAATCAATTTTTAGTTTTTTTTTTTTGTTTCAAACATATGTATATTTCCAATATAGTTATGATGGAGAAGTCATAATTGAGCAGACTGTATTAGTTTGGAAACTATAGCTTTTTGAATTTTTTGTTAAAAAACTTAATAATGTAAATTGTATAACATGTCTGTCATAGTCTAGCTGTTGTAGATATCTGTTGTCATCCTAAGGATCGCAAGTTCAAACCCGAATTTTGAAAATCATTTTTGCAAAACCACATTGGGTAGATAACTGAGAAAAATGAAATCCAGCATGATATAATATATGATATTATATTATAATTAATTATAATATGATATTATATTTTATGTAGGTACTTTTTCTTTGATAGGTACAATTTTTAGATTAAACAAAAATGCTTGAAAATTTAACATGTGATTCATTAAAAGTTGTACTTAGTGGCCTTAGAAAAAAAAATGTAATTTACTGTAGAAATTTCTTTTTTTTTATAAAGGAATTTTATTATCAAAATTTTACTGTATAAAAACTATTGTTTAAATGGTTAAAAAAATAATATATTTATTTACAGAATATTTACTATGTTTTAGACTGTGCAATATGAACAATTCTCTGGGAGTTATTTTCAAGACATTCAAACCACTTTCGATCTGACTACAAAAATCAAAAAAGAACTGGAAAGTGACAATACTGAAGAATGTGTTCAATATGTGCAGTATAATGAATACATAACACATAACTACTCTGGAAAACTATAGAGGTATTATCATTTGTGTTACAAAAACTATTTTAATAAGTTCAACATTTGTATTACAATAATAAAGAAGTATAATAGATTTTAATTTGTGCTTAAATTCCAAAGATGAAACAATAGAAAAGATGATAGAACATTGGTTTCTTGAGAATAGTGGACACTAAAAGTTAACAATTTTAAAACTTCAGGATAATTGATAAATCTATGATTTTATTTTATAAATCCACAGAATATCTATAGATTTTGTATCTTTGTGAGATTTACCCCTTTGGCTGTAATATCAAAATCTCCTTCCATGTAATAATTTTAAAAAAAAATTATCTGAATTTGTTCATTTTTTTCAACAATTTTTCTTTGGTAGGGATTACATATTACTGAACCATATTCCATTGAAGTTCTAAAACTGTATGACATATTTGTCCTGGTTTATAAAAAACAAAAAAAAAATCATTCACTTCTATTGTGGTCTGAAGAAAATGTACAATGTCAGACTTACCAAAAATGAAAGCTTTTAAAGATAATGTTTACATAGTTAAAATGATAATATGTTTATTTACAAAATATTTACTATGTTTCAGACTAAGCAATATAAAAAATCCTTTGGGAATTATTTTAAAGACACCCAAACCATTTTTGATTCAATTATAAAAATTAAGCAGGAACCAATGAGTGAAGAAGACAATAATATTATTGAAAACACAAGAAATACAGAATAATATTTTGATTATGGGAAGTTTATTGAAAACAGATTAAAGACCTTCTCTGGGAGAACTAGAGAGGCTATCCAAAAGGAATTTGCTAAAATTATTTTTAAAGCCATCTAAGGGTATTATGAATGAATTCAGTACATTGTATTAACTCTATTATCATTTATTTTAATCATACCCGTACATCATGATAATAATTAATGTATAATTTTTCTACTCCAGCTGTTTTTCCCAATCCTAATTTTATTGAATTATTATTTTTAAAACTAAATATAATTCAAATTTCAAAGCATGCTAGGGATCTATTTGTTTCACTACTCTGTCTTTTTTTTTTCATTTGTAAATCGGCAAAGTGTAAAGCATTTGGACTTTTGTAGTTTTCAATTCAAAATTATTATAGAGACCTATAGTTTTCAAAAAATACTTTTATTTTCCCTTTTTAGTAACAGTAAAATTTCTATATTTAATATATTGTTTATATAAAATAATATATTGTTTTCCAGTGCTAAATCCGGTATCCTATTCACCATCTTATTTATCGAAATTAAAAATATGTGAAAATATCTATTTTTTTTTAAGAACATAAATGAAGACAATAATTGTTTATCAAGCAAAATTTATTCGTATTGATCATCTAGTGGATATCTATTAGGTAGGTACTCTATGTTCATACCAGAGACCAAACAAAAAAAATTCATTTTTAATTTGTGAATAGATAACAATAATGCAACAGTGCATTTTCGTTATGATTAGGTTAGGTTATGGTAACGGGATTAACTACTCAGAGTTACTTTACAAGTAAAAGATGAATTTATCATTTGTTGCTAAGATGTTTAAGAAAAAGTTTTAATAATTCGATAATCTATACACTTCAATTTTTTTTTCATTGTACCAAGTCCCAAATAGTAATATCAGCTATAAAAATAGTATTAAATGTATATTCTAGCTATTTGTGTGTGGTTTTTTTTCAAAATATATATATTATAGATTGAAATGTTTATCACTTAATATCTGAAAATTCTAATGATATATTTTTAAAAAGTATCATAGATTATTTTTAATAATTAAACAATTAAATAATTTTTACGTCGTTTATCAAAGCCCTTGTCTAGGAGCCCACTGTCCGTTGGAGCCGTTGTTCGATAGGTACACGAAGAAAACAAATATAAAATATAATAGGTATACGATCAAAGTGTTAGAATTTTATATTACGTATGGATACGTGCGTGCGATACGGCGGATGCATAAACTGTATGCGTAGTATCTACCGATTATGTGTGTATAGCGTAATATTGATAACTGGAAAAACTTAAATTAAACTTAAAACTAACTGTGTATGATTGTGTGTGTGTGTGTGTACGCGGCCGGTATGTAATTACGCTAATGATGGCCTTGACCTATGTATTTCGCCCATCGGTGGTGGCAACAGATACTAAATATTGTGTTTATCTCATACCCCATAAAACAAAAATATCCATTTAACAATATTAATTAGTCATTGATTATTATAATACACACTTAAAAAAAAATTTAATCTTAAAACGCCTAAAAAAAAAAATGAACCATTAAACACAAATTTGGTTTTTAGACCACTAAGTATAGCTTATAATATAGCATATAATTTTAATAACAGATGCCTACAAAATAAAAAAAATCTTATTATTAAAATATTACTTCAATCAAAAAATGCCAACTTTTTGGTTACATTTTGGATCTAGTTACCTACTACAATTGAGTGGTCATTTTTTGATTTTTCTTATAGTTTTCATTTATCTACTATGAAAAAACTGTATAGGAAAAACAAAAAATTTTACATTTAAGTTATCTCTAGAGAAACGGTTACTGTAAAAATAAATGTGATAAATTATTCTTATTCACGGTACCTATTTTGTTTAATTCGTAAATCTGCTCCTAATTTGTGTGATAGCGTGGATAGTATTATCTGCCGCATTCGTCACAGTTATCATAATTTTAATCTAAAAAGTAGGCAATGCATTGTGATATCAATTTTCACAGTTTACCTATTTTAATTCAAAAATTATTGAAAAAAAATTTAAAACTTTTGTTACCAATGGATTGTCAAATAATTGGAAAAAAACCAATAAAACATTCAAATAGTACCTAGTACTTATCTATGTAAGTATGTAAATGTTTAATAATAATTTTTAACTGTTTTTCTGGATAGTACCTACTGTGCTATATACATACTATGCTATTAGATACAGTTTGATGTCTAATAGCGAATAAGATCTTGGATATAACATATATACCATTGACACAACTGTTTAGGAGGGAGTCGTGTAATGGTTAGGTTACCTAACCTAGCTCCCCACCCGGCTCCCGGAAAAGGGGCAATTGCTCCAGGGCACTGTAGTTTTGTAAAAGTAAGGAGACACTTTTATTTGCGCTTAATATGCTATCCAGGCCCCCTAAGACCAAATATGTTGTAATTTTATAAATAAAAAATTAAAGACACTGTGGTGTCTAAAAATAAATTTATTTAGCATTTCTCATTAAAAATCTTTACAAAATCCGTTATCTACAACTTTGAGAAAACTAAAAAAAACTGTCTACAATATTGAAAAGTTACTATTAATTAACAATATTTTTGACATTTCTCTTTCAATTTATTCTTCAAACATGAGTTTTCTTTAAACTTAAAATATTTAATTAACTTCGGACCAATTCCCTTAATGGTATGACTTATTAAATTTAGGTAGTTTTAATTTTACCGGTTCTCTACTACACATGATGTTCTGTACAATTTATTCTTTTAAGCAAAATTTTGTTCTAATAGGTACAACCTTTTACTCAATATACTAATAATTATTAGAGTTATATTATATTTTTGCTGTTTATTTAAAGACCATGGCATGACCCTTCTATCTTTAGTTGAATTTGTAAATAAAATTATATTAATTTGTAACCATCTAAGGACTAAAATATTAAAATACAACTATTACATTATTGACTAACTCAATATTAATTACTATGTTAATATAAACATTATTGTAAACCAATTGTTCCTAGCTCCACTCGGAATCTAAATTATAAATAAATATTGAAACAATAACATTAAATAAAAATGTTAATAAAAATTACAATTAACAATCAATTTTCTTCTTCCTCAGAATTAAGTATAAGTTTCTATACTTGGTTTTCTACTTGGATATATAGTGAAGGTATATATTTTAACAAAGACAGTAAATATTTCTTTTTTTATACTGAAATGTTTAGAGTATTTTCTTTACAAGAAGAAATATTTTGGTTTTCAATTGTTGTATTCACTCTCACTGTGAACCTAACCCTTCAACCTAACATAACTCTTGCTCGATGGGAAACGGGTTTTACAATATTTATCAAATGGAAGTTTCTATTAACGGCTAAAATGTTTTTATAATTTACTTAAAATATGTTTTTTTTCTCTAATTTAAACCATAAATTGATCCTTGCACAATTTTCTCTCCATTTTTATTTTGTTTTCACATCAATTATGTTTTCGATTTGTAAACATTTCCAAAATTTTTGAAATCTTCTCTTTCCATTTCTTATGAGTTGATCTTTGTGATATGAATGATAAATAGGAGAATCGAAGTGTATCTTTTTTTTTTCAATTTAAACATGATCGGAGTCACACTCCATTTGGGTGTATCTAGGAATTAAAAATGTGTGTACCAAAACTTGAATAGAAGTGAATGTCAAAGATAAAGCAAGGAAAAAATTTAAAAAATATTGTTTTGCAGTTTTATATATTAATTATTTTAATGATTAATTTGTTATCAATATTTTTTATTAGAATAAATTATTTCTAATAAATATTGCAAATTATAATATTAGTTAGTTTTCGTAGTGTATGGTAATATTATGTCCCGTGGAGACCAGTTCGCTTGCGACATGATGCATAATAAATAACTAGGTTACTAATTTAGGTAAGTTCTTATATGTGTTTAATTGAATTATCAAATAATCTATAATATGTGATTAATAAACCAATAAATAAGTTTGTTATTAAAATTCAAATATGTTTAAAAAACGGTCAATAAGTACAAATTTGATTAAACTGTTGCTCTTAAAAGTATAACCTTTTTTCTTTCAAAATATTAAAAGGTTATTATTATTTGCATGTAGTTCTCGCCGTTCAAGGAATATACTGATTACCTATAATTTAAAATGTGGTAACTTTTCCTAATGCACAATGATATAATAGAACAATGCAAGTGACTGCTGATCGAAATTGGTATCCTCGCCTAATCGTTTTTAATAAAAACTTATTAAAAAATATAACACGCATTGTACAGTAATCGACTCACCAAATTCAGAAATTGCCTATATGTATACAACTTCAATGAAACGGTTGGATTCGAACCTCTCGGTAGGCTATACCTCTTATCGTATTTTAAAGTAAAATAACTCAGAAACTTTTCGTTCAAATTTCGATTATAATAGGTAATTACGTCAAAATTTTCATAAAAATCATCTGATTTACAATTTGCATTAAAATATGTAGATTCCCATTTGACAAACTAAAGTTGTCACTACATGAAACCCCTTAAATGTTGTGAAAAATCTAAGTATTTGAAAATATCGGCTTTAATTACATTTAAAAATTCCAAAAATCAGAATTTTAATGCATGCGAAATTTAACCAAAAAATTGGGGAGAACACGGTTATTTAATCACTCTATATACTACTCAATCGTAGTAATTTCATTTAATACCAAAACATTTCTCCGAATGTAAAAAGGTAGGTAACTACGATATTAAATTGGGCCGCTTAACAACTACTCCGAAATAGTTTTATCAAATTAAACCTTGGCGTTTTACTACCTTTATATTAATAACCAATCTGTTGTATATTTTACACAATTTATTTGAACTATAAAATCAAAAAAAGAATTATTGTTATTGTCATTTAAATTTGTTTTAACATGTAGCCCTTTTAATCAAAACGAGGCAATTGAAAATATTATGGCACCTAAGTCACTTGAAGAACTTTGTTTAAATATTTTTTCGCAGTACACAATTATATTTCAGCAATTAGTATACATCTCACAAAATACTATACGACTTATTATATCATAATACCCTTTTTGTTTTTTGGCAGGGGTAAACTTTAAGTTTATTTATTTAGTTTTATACATTTTATTACGCGTTATAATTTTATTAAACAATCATCAAACAAACAACAATCAAAAAACAGTATTGTGATTATTATAAAGAATAAGTAAAAAGATAAATTTAAAAAACCTATTAGACAGTATACAAAGGTGGACTATCAATATTAGTGATACGAATTAAAATGTATCTTAACTAAGGTAATTAATAAATTAATAGTTATTATTTTAAAGATATGTTTTAATTCATGATTATTGATGAACATATTTTCAATAGGAATGGTATATTATGATCTAAGGTAGGTAACGAGGTGACGTCAACCAATTCAGTGTTATTACCCTTTCAGTTTTTATCAAGTTATTACAATTTCAAACTTAATTTCGGATATACATTCTTAACAATAATAGTGTACTCGGAAGAATTTAAATACGGAGTAATATGCTCAATGTAGACTTTCGTAGCAGTTTTAGCGACCTGTTATAACAATGCTATGGCACATGATTCATGGACCGTGTTACCCTAACCAATTTACAATAAGTGTCTTGATATCACAGTATTGTTAACAGTAAACGACTTGGGTGCAATAATTATTCATACTTTGGCGGGTTACACCAAGACACGAGGTTTATAAGGTAATAAAGAAACGTTTATTTACAACATAAAGACATAAAACAAGTGATCGCCAGCAGACGGAGCTTTTGACGGAGGAAAAGGCGAGCACGCAACAATTAAAAACAACATTAGTTAAGAAAAACAATGTTACATAATAATTATTCAACGGCGTCGGTGCGGAGAGAGCGAGCGGAGCGGTCGAGACGTCGAGTCGAGCGGAGCTGTGGACGATGACCCCTGAACGCCGACGGCGAGGGGCGTGGCCGACGTCCGCCGCAAGCGACGCTCAGCGGGAAGAAGAAATGTGGCACGAAACCCGCCACAAAACTATAAACTATTTATAGAGTATGATAAATTTGATAAAATAATAATACCGGATAACAGCGACCTCCGTATCATAGCTAACGTGTAATCGTATTATTATAATAACCTTTAAAAGAAAACTTTTAATATATAATTTATTGTCATTGTTATAAACCATGTTATCGTTTTTGTCTTCCAGTTTCCAATTGACATTCCATTATATGTTATAAATTTATAACTGTAAACCCTCGACTGTCAATTTCCAATATGCAATGTGAGTTTAACAAACTCCATTCATTATTCTTATTATGTTAGTTTGGTTAAGTTTTAATTCGCAAATCGTATATTCATAAATATTATAATATTCGTTTATTAAAATATTAATAACATGGATCCAACTAAAATAATGAAAGGTGGAGCAGAAAAAATGCGACTGAAAAGACTTGGTGAATTCAAATTATAACTGGCTAAATATTCAAAATAAAAAAAAGTTGAACTTTTTTCACCTACTTCGTATTGATTGCACATTCAACTACAAAAATTCCGGTCAAGGTAAGTATACAAACCCATTCTAATATTAAGTTGTAATATTATAAATTAAGTTGAATCAAAAGTAAAAGAAACATGTAAACTGAAAGTAGAATTTTTAAATTTATAGCTAATACCCCTAAATACCTATTGGCTAAGTATCAACTTTGTTAAGTACTTTATAATAATATAGCCTATACAGGGGTCTCACAAAGATACATCTATTGTAATATCTCCAGAGACAATAAAAATAATCAAATTCAGTTTTTTCTTTTTATATTATGTACTTACTGAGATAGAGACTACAAATAATATTGCAATTAATTTTTATATTTTATTATTTTTGAAAAATTTGAAGATAGTCATTTTATAGAGTTTATTTTTCTGAAAATTTTGATGTACCAACTTTTTATTTTTATTGAATGTGTGATTTTTAATAATTGTTCAAAGTTCATAAAAAAGAAGTGTACAGTTGTTTAATCATAGATTAATTATAATAATAATAATCAATTAGAGATTGCGATTACAACTTGCTGTTTAATCATGAGTACTTTTCTCTGAACATTTTCAGAAGAGTAAATTACTCAATATACATTTTCCAAAAGTAATACTAATAAAAAAAAATAGTTATTTTTCAAAGCATAAGAAATTAATGGAAATATAAAATATTTGTAGTTATTATAACTCTATATATAGTAATATAGGGAAAAAAAACAAATTTTATTATCTTTACTATATCTAGAGATATTAACATGTAGAGGAGACATTAGTTGTATATCGAATGAATCAATTAATCATTGTTAACAATTTGGAGCGAAGTTCAGTAGGACATTTTGAAATGCGTTATTATTAGAATTTTCATCAAAATGTTTAAGCATTTCTTTTGAGTTATGTAATTTGAATAAAATTTACCTACCAAATAAAAATACAATATATAAAAACGCGAAAATATCAAATACTTACAAATAGCCTAAACATGTTTTGAAAATTTTACTGTATCTAATTAAGGACAACAAAGCATCTTGGGAAATCTAAAAGTCTCATAAATAATTTTGAACCGAAAAACAACAAAAATTGAAATTGTTTTAAAATACATCAAATTTCAAATTCTGAGTCAAGTGAAAAACTTACATTTTTTCAAAGATGTTTAGAATTTTAATTTTTTTTTTTGTGAACAATTTTTTTACCAGCAATTTTGCTCCAATTCATGAAAGTAATTTTTGTAAATTAAAATCCGACTGAGAAGGTACTTTAGAGAGGTCATTTTTCGATTTTCTTTAGAGTTAACTCAACAAATGTGAAAACCGGGAAAACTTAGGAAATTGAGGAAAATAAATACAAAATTAAGCAAATAGTATTGAAAAAAATATATAAAGCATATTTATAATTTTATTATAATATGACAGATATATTGTTGACAAAGCATCAGTATCAACTGAACTCCGCTTAGAATCGTTTTTTGTTAACAATGGTTAATCGTTGCTTACAGGTATACATTAAATTACCTATAATAGTGGCTTCATCCGTCCCCATTATCCAAGGATGTCTTTATAAAATTATAATTTATGTACTAAATAATACAGTTTATTCAAAAGTAACAGCAGAGTTATAAATTTAGTACCTACTAGTATTTATAAGAGAGCTCCCTACCTATTATTCTACAAATTATCTACAACCTCAAGCCCCCACATTGAAAATTCTTGAGAATGCCACTGATATACATTTTATTTTATATCCATTTTAGCTTCAATCAATACCACTATGGTTGGTGGTGCTAAATTGTGAAAATATTATTGCATATAATTTTGTACTTATGAATTTAAAGATAATAATACTTTTTCTTTCTTGAAGTATTCCTTTTTGAAAATTGGCTAATTTAATTAATTAAAAATTATAATAATATTATAAAGACATTTTTATCTCTAAAAATTGTCAACAAAATGTCTTACTTTTTAAACTAAAAAAAAACAAATTATTGTAGATATGTAGAATTTCTCATAGAATTAGTAAATCTGGTATACTAAATTATATATTTTTTAATTATTTTAAAATTATTAAATTGGATAGACGATCTATTAAGTAAAATTAATATAATATATATTATAAAATACAATGTAAAGTAAATTATTTATTAGTTATAAATTATTTTTTTCAGAATAAAAATATATATTCAATTATTAATATGTGCAAATAAAATCTGGAATAATAGGTAAGTACAGAAATAATTTTGATGCTTCAAAGTGTAATGAAATTCAATTGAGGTGATCACGATCTTATTGATGCTTCTATATAATAAATGAATTGTATTAATAAATATACCTACCAAGTACAAACCGTGATCGGGGGAGCTCCCCTGGCTCCCCCTGACTCCCCTAGACATGTCTCCGGAGGGGGCACAAAGACTATATTATTATGAGTTATATTAAATATTTAAAGATTTTTTTGCTAATTTATATTATTCTGGGTGCCCGGACCCCTATAACTCTTAATCTGGGCTGACGGTTTGGTCAGATAACTGTTAAGATATTTTAAAAATATACGTGTTGCTATATTTATACAAATTAGTCACAAGTATAGGGGATTAGTAAAATGTGTTGTAATTTTCAATGAACACTGTAAATTGTTATCGATTTGTAAATTATTAAACAAATACTTCAAAATTAATTTATTTTTAATGACACAAACAAAAAACATAGCATAGACACTGTAAACGAATAATTCACCATAAATTAACGGAATGGAAGCTGGAATCACTCAAATGAAATTGTCCGAAGGTCAGCTGGTATGGGATATTGTGAAATGGAAGGTTGAACCAGCCGAATGATAGCTTCAGCAGATCCAAGGCCGTTAATTGCTTTACAAATGTAGTCTCCATAATGGCTGTATGTAGTAGAGGCGATGGATAGAATACCTTCTGTAATTTCATCCGTGATTACACGTTCGGATATACTAAATGTAAATATTAAATGTTTAAAAAATATTGAACAACAACAAATTATATCTGATTATTTAAAAACAAGTATACCTGTAATGATCATTATAGTTATATAACTGTTGTCCGATTTTGAACCAAACTATGGCCGGAGTAGGAAATGCATCAACATGACATTCAAGATTTATATTTTGCCTTAATGCTTGTTCTACTTTAGGCCTAGGAATTATTATGGATGGTGCACATTTTACTTGCATAGTAACACTATATCGGACACCACGGCCAACTCCATTATCAGCTATACAACTATATGTTCCTCTATCCTTCCTGTTTACACGACTAATTTGTAGAATGTTTCCTCTGTAAAATTAAATTTAGAATGAATGCATTATTTTATAATCGTTAAAACTACTAAAATATATTATTGTAATTTGTAGGTATGTTTGTACTTATATGCCGAACCAACATGTGGAGCTGGTAAAATTTCGGCGTTCACTCTTTTCCAAAAAATCTTCGGGTTAGGGTACCCCTCCGCATAGCACTCGAGGCTTACGGGTTCACCTGTAATACGTATTAAAACTGAATAAATAACAATAATATTAAATATTTTAATAAATACAATCTTTTGACCTTCAGTAACAAAAAAAGATTTCGTTGAATTGCTCAGTATGAACGGACTTCTCTTCACTTTTAACATAACTTGGGCAAATAATTTTGTATGTAAATTAATATTTATGGTACATTGATACGCCGCGTCATCGATTTCTTGAATATCACTAATCTAAAAATATTTTTAAATATTACAACTATTAAAAAATTGATGACCAAATAATGCTGGCTTTCAAATACCGTTAAATTATAACATCCATCCGTCGCCCGTACTGAGAACCGTGATGATGAGAAAATTAAAGTTCCGCTAACTGAAAGTATTAATGGTTCTGCCATTTTGGAATTATTGAGTTTGACCCAAGATACTGGAATATCATCATAATTGTCGATGATGCAACAACTGAGTTGAGCCATCTCACCTCTGCCCCGAATGATATCTTTATTAATATACACTATTTCCTGGGCATGACAGACTAAAAACATATTAAAATTGATAATTAGCTAAATACTTCAAGTATATAATTTTATTTTTCAGAATAATGTTTAAAGAAAACCATAAGATATTGTCGTATTATTTATTATGTCAAATATAAACTTATAAATAAAATAAAAATAGATAAATAAATAAAAATAACAATATAGGATGAACTTTCCAGTAATTGTAAAAGTTACGATTTATTTATTGTTAAATTGATAGTTAAAAATAATATATTTATTTAATTTGAACAAACAGATTAGTAAATTTGTTATTTTTAAAACGAATTTGTTTAATAAAATATTAGATTAATTTAATAATATTAAACCCAGTTTGCTCAAAAAAAAAAAAATTAAACCTAGTTATTAAGCAGGTAGTCATTTATTGATGTATCAACATTTTATTTTCATTTAACTTGTAATTTTTAATGATTCTTTAAAGTTCAAAGAATATAAATTAATTTAATAGAAATAAAAAGTTGATTCTTCAAATTTTCTTTTGTAAAACTACGTTTATGTAACAAGGAAAAAAACAAATGCAATTCAATATGTGTTTAGTGTGCAAGTCATTGTATTCAATATATATATTTTATTTTACTATAATATGAAAAATATATTAATAATATTCTTAATAAAGTAAAAACAAAATTTTTAAATGGTTAACACTCGTAAATAAATATATTAAATTAATTAATGCATTGCCTGAACTGTTACAACATTAATTAATTAATTAATGTATATATTTACAAATATACTATTGAAAAAGCAATATTATTAACCGAGATCCTCTCAGAATTATTTTTCGTCAGTTATGATTAATTATTGTGTACATATATAGGTACATTCAATTTCCCTCGACATCCTATCTTCCCAACTTAAAATCCCAAATCCACAACAGTAGTCCACCTATTGTAAGAATTACGATAGTCTTTTTGGTTTTTATTTTCTTATTATTTGCAAAATGTTATTTAAATTACCATTATTTACACCCCAAATTATGTATTCTGCAATTACGTTAAGACGAAGACCAGGCGGTCGACGCGTTTTCGTTCCTTTTGGTCTGAACCCCGTCCCGCAATGCCTATACAGTAATGCCATGCATCTGATTGGCTGATCTATTTTTAACGTCTATACAGAACGTACACAGAATATTAGTTTAGTTAGGGATTCAACTACAGATTTATCATGGACTCGTGGGGGAATTCACCCTCACACTACTCATTTTATAGCTGAACTTTAATTGATTTTATTCAACATGTAGTTAATGTAACACGATAACTGTACAACCGAAGACTGAAGGTTGCCGAAAACATACCGAGCCAGCCGGGGTAGCGTATTGAGCCCTTCGTTTCTTCCACTACCACCTCTACAGTATTCCAAAAGAAAGAGAATTCTGGTTTTATCTAACAAGAAAAAACAGACTACGATTCACCCTGAATGGCACGGCGTATATATGTAATGGAGGGAGACCTAGAACTATTCAACTCGCCAATACCAAATTTGCAGGGTTTGTAATATACGCGTATAAAACGTTTTATAAGTTACACCTATATTACCAACATATAAAACGTATACAATTTTATAACGGCTGAGACATTCTTTTTTTGAAGTTAATTATAATACTGTAATGAGACTGTACATTTTAAATTTGAATAAGTATTTAAACTTAAAAATTAATAAAACAAATTAATACATCACATCAATTTGATGAATTATCTTAAATTTAGGATAAAATTAAAACAAACTAAATCATTTTTTTTGTTTTATAAATTATATTTATATTGATGTAGTTATTAAAATTATATAAATAAATAAATGATTACTTTGTTTGGAGTATTATGAAATGTGTATTGTACGACTGGTTTCGAATTAAATATCCATCGTCAAGTAAAATCACAAAATCAAAAATTAAAATGCTCTTGAATTTAAAAAAATATAACGTGTTTTATTCTTTACTGTATTATACTTTCCAACTCTGCAAATTTTAAATAAATTTAAAAATCCTTTGCAAAATGTTCGTATACATTTTTACTGCCGGTGCAACAGGCGATTGATGTTTTATGTAACCACTACTACGGTTTAAGTTTATTAAGCCGTCCTGATTTAAATACTTCTTATTGCATTAAATGAAATATAATCATATTATATTAATATTATTTTTACATACGTTGTGTAACCCAGTGTAATAATTTCCTGATTTTTAAATTCCAGTACAATATTTGCTTTAATAATATTATCGTTTGGTTATATAGTACGTATGTTACAATAAATTTTCATTTTATGATTTTTTTTTTTTTTCGCAATGCATTAAACCTTTTTGGTAGACAGACGGTTGTGGCAGCGCGACGGCGGTGTTGTTCCAGATTTCCGTTCGAACCTTTACAAAAACTAAACTGACGACGACGCCATCAAGTTGGTAATTTCTTTTACATTTATAATAAATCTTTACACAAAATATAAAATGTCTGCCTACGTATTTTTAAACTATCCTTTTATTTGTCTGTACCGTCTCGATGCCACCAAAGCAGGGTACCCATATTGTTATAAATATTTGGGTCAAATAGATTGTATACAGGTAGGTTACCCGCCAGAGGATGAATAAAATGCTGTAACAAAACACATTGTAATACTTTAAAATTCGGACTACCCGCAGTGTTTTCGCATTCCTATAGTAATTTCGATCTATAGAAAACTATAATTTTTAGCTACTCGGACTCACTCAAAATCCAATATATACGTAGTCCGAACAATGGAAAAATGTCAATGCATATAGGCATCTGGTAAATTATTATTATCCTCAACGCCGCCATGATTTTTTTTTCGTCTTTATTTTACAATAGAGGTTCAGAATAAATTTCGAAAACGTTTTATAAGTTATAGAAGATGATCCTAGTGATCCAAGGTTATAATTTTTAAATATGTATTCAATATTATTGAACATAGTTATCTACTGTTATTTCTTATCTTCTCAATCTATTATTAATTTAATGATTAATTAACTTTTGAATAATTGTTTGTGCATTTATTACATTTTTTTGTATGATATTGAACATTTTGCTAAATATATTTTACAATTTCTTTGTGCATATTTTACTTTTTTAATTCCTATACTTTCCGAGCCTATTCAAAAAATGTCACAACTAGTAAATTAGGTACTGGTCACACAACAAGAAATTAGGAACTCGCGTTTGTATGTTATCTTTACCTCGATGATAAACGTTTGTTGGACATTGATTGTATGCTCTTTTCGTAGGTATAGCTATAGTACTTGTATAGTATATAGTATACAGTATATAATATATATAGTACTGATCAAATCCTATTTCCGGTAAACTATGTGTTTAGCCTTTAAAACACCGATATACATAATATATATGAATATAAATTATATGAAAATTGTATGGCATGATCTTTCTAACTAGTAACCGATAAATAACATTAAATTGATTTTTAAACAAGTTTTTTTTTTTTGCAACATTTTATTTCAACACAATATGGCGCAACTTTCTGTACTATCAATGCTAGGCCTGTCAATTTTCCACACATAGCTTTGGCTCAGTCTGTACAAATACCAACACATTTTTTCCAAGGCAATCCTATGGTTGAAAAATAATTGCCGTTGATTTTAAAAATATTTTCAGTGTCCGTATTTGATTCAAGTGGTTTACAAAATAAATACTCTTCATTTAATACATTGTGAAAATCATACCGAATGAAAACAAGTAGCTGTGCCATATTTGTTATATCTGTACTCTTATCTACTTGGAGAGACAAATTTGAACACATTTTTAGTTGACTAATCAATATTTCTTCAATATTTGAAGCAATAGTATCAATTCTTCTCTTAACAAAATTGTTTGATAGTGGAATTTTATCCAATTTTTTAGCTGCTTTTTCTCCTAAAACCGTTTACACCATATCTTTAGCTGCAGGTAATATCAGCGTTTCACCAACTGTATGAGGCTTTCCATCTTTAACAATCCTAAGGCTAGCTAAATATGATGCTCTTAAATATTTGCCGTCAATGTTAGTGAAATAAGTCATACAATTGGATTATTTTTAAAAAAATTCAGTTTTTCTTTGCCAAAACTCAATTGGTTTATTTTCCATTTCAGGGTATTAAGTTTGTTGGTGACTTTTTAATAGCGAAGGCTTCATACTTTGGTTTGAAAGTGTCTCTTTACATATAATCCATAGGGGAATAGGGTTTTCACTATTTTCTGTGCATTAAACTTTAATGCATTGTATACAAAAAAATTCATAAAATGAACATTTATTATAACATACATACTATATAACCAAATTACAAGACATTTTGAATGTTATATACATATATATAGATAATCTAAATACATTAAAGAAAACCAGTTCCTTAGAACTGTATAACATTAAGTTTGATTGGGATACTGAAGAATCTAAAAAATTGCATCAACGACTCGTTGCCATTTTTAGGTGGCCCGCATTATTTTCTGGACTTGTAAATTTTAATACAGAAAAAATAAACATTATCAGCAATATGAAACAGACAACAGATTAAAATTATTCTGCATATCCTTATGTTTGTACTAAGAAGAGAAAATTAAATTCTAATTTAAAAATATTTTTATAAAAATCATAATTTCCTATAAACGCAATTAATATTAAAAAAAGTACAGTTTATTCTTAATAGTGAATAAAATATTTAATTAAATAATTCTGTTGTTTTATTTTATAAAAAAATATCCCACTGTTATATAAATTATAATCAGTAAATGCATATTTTGATTTATTAAACACTGAATAATAACTTTTTAAGTTGTTAATATAATAAAAATACAAAATATAAATACAATGTACTAATGACTACATTCACTTCATTTGTTTTTGGAATATATCCAATTTTCTTTCTTCATATATACAATTATTAAGTTTTAATGACCAACATATTACTTTTCATTCTTCTTTATTCATTACTAATTCCTGTCAAATCTTCACAGGTTTACAATTTTTCATATCACTCCTTACTTGATCTTTCCATCTTTCCCTTTGATGATCTTTTTCCTATTGGCTCATTATCTTGAATTGTTTGTGTCAATGTTTCTTCTTTTCTCCATGAATGGCTAATCCACTGGAAATGTTTTTCTCATTTTCCCAGTATAGCATTTGGTATAGCTATTTAAGTTTATAATTTTTTTTTTAAATTCTCCTTTCTCCAGTTCCTGTATTCTAATATGGCCCAAGAACTCTTTTTGAAATTTTTCTCTCGAAAATAACAAGTTTTTACTGTTTGTGTTGGTAGTGTTCATGTTTCACTATCATACATTATTACTGGCTCAATAGGAGTATGGTATATCTGAACCTATACATTTTTGTCTTTAGAAATTTAGTTAATTATTCCTAATTAACTTATTCCCAACTTGTAGTCTTGTTTATATTTCAGCTGATTCTTTGTTTCTTTGAGTCAATATTGAACCCAGATATTTGAACTCACACTTTTTTGAACCTATATGGGCTTACTTTCAAATGAAATATCACATATTTACTCAGTTTTATCCTTATTTATTTCTAGTACTACTCGCTTTGCTGTATCTAATTATATATTATATATTTGAGTCATGGCAGATTTTTTTTTTTGGCTCCTCGGGTTCCAAAATTAGTATAACCTCTAATAGTTTTCTATGGAACCTTGGAGGAACAGGATAAAACAGTTAACAACAATAAGTGGTGATAGGCGAGGTTGAGCGTTTTAAGTAAGTACCTAGTTTGTACAAAGTAATGATGGTTATAATGAGAATGTGAAATATAGGACATAAGTGTGATTGGATAAATTGAATAGAATGATCTGGTGTTTTATGTGACAAAAGAATTCTAATGAAATAAATTTGAGTTCTATAGAAATATAGTATGTAGTTGATACAAAATAACCCATATTCGAGTGTTCATACGATTTTCAAAGATATAATACCCTAAAAATAATACATTTTCAGGCTATTTATACTTCATTTTAAGAAAATAAGAAAAAATTAATAATTAACAGTAAGTAACATGAAATGGCTGATATAAATTAAATTTGGTTTTTTCCTTAAAAAGTACCTACCTTTAACCTCGATCATTTCTATACAAGATAAAATGTTTTAGGCAACACTTTATAGTTATTACTTCACAACAGGGGGAAGAAATAATTGTCCGAGGAAGATCAAAATGTTTTTTTCGAAATTACGTGATACCAAAGAAAAAAAATCCACCATCACCCAAATAAGAACCACACTTATATATAATATACTTATTACGTATAATAATAATAATTGTATTCAACACAATTTAAGTAGGATACATATACATAAATTACATAAAATGACAATATGAACTGAACTGATTCTGAACCCTCTCCTAAAGCATGCTTGTGATAAGAGTGGGAGACTTCAGATACTAGTTATACAGAATAAATTAACAAAATGTTTAAAATTTATAAAAGTAAAAATGATTGCAATTATATAGCATAAAAATAGAATGGCACCTAAAAATCATGAACACGAACAAAAAGTATCATTTATTGATATTAATGAATATTTCTCTCAATCATATATTTTTTTATACTTTTTTTAAACAATATTTTATCATTTATTAACTTAATATAATTTGGTAATTTATTAAACATTGTTATAGCTTTGTTATAGCTTAATAATAGTTTTGGAAAGCCGTGGTATTACATTTAGGAACATTAAGACAATTCTCCTTTCTTTCTTTAGGAATAATACTTAAGCGCTCATTAACCCAGTTACTCAAACCAGTAGTTGTATTAATGAAGAGAAATCAATGAGTTGTTTTACATTACATATTCCTAGGATGCCAAAAAGTTTTGCAGTATTCATTCTGTTGTAGCCTTTAATGAAATTCATATTAATATTCTATGCATAGTGTGTAATCTAAGTCGATTCCCATAAAACTATACCTTAGGATAAGACAGACTATGCCAGAGAAAAATAAACACCACACAAAGTGAATATATCTAAAATTATATTTAATTCTTTGAATATACAGAAAAAATTTCTTAATCTTTTTGTATTTAAATTAATTTGTGTTTTCCATTTTATATCTTCGTCAAAGTGAGTACCTAGATATTTTACATTATTTACACGAGTTAGTTTATAACAATTAAAATCACAACTACTATTTTCCAAACAAGCAATAGTGGTTTTCTAAGATATTTATAAGTGAAATCGAGACTTTGCATAATGCAAAAGTCATAAAAACTGTTTTATGTACATTGCACGACAATAAATTGGTTTCAAACCAACTCCTTATTTTAATAAAATTAAATTTTGTCACTGATTCAAGATAATAATTATTTTTCACCTTTAAAAACAGAGTAGTATCTACTTCATAAGCTAGAACTTTACTATATAAATTAAGCTCAAATAGTTCTTTTATATAAATTAAAAATAATATAGGTCTTAAAATAGTTCCTTGCTGTACACGAAATTTAACAAATTTATATTATTAAATTTATCATTAATTCACACTACTTTTAAATAAGTATGATTTAAACCGGTTTAAAAAATTAATTAATTGATAATTAATACATTTTTCTTGTAACCTATTTATTAAATTTACTAACTAATAAAATGTTATATTTTATAACAAATAACACGATTTTAAAAAATTGTATCTAAGTTATAATCTATAATTATAGCTATAAGCTATAATAATAGTTTAATAACAACTATTAACGCATTTAGGTACATAAAACATTTTTGAATTTGGGACTTGAGTGAGTCACATAATAGAATTTAAAATATGCTATACTAGATGCCAAAGAGGATTTAATTTGAGAAGGGGCCTATAAAATAACCGAACCGTATTTTAGTAGAAAATATTTTAACTGACCGTATTTAAACTGAACATGAAATTATCAGAAAATTTAAGCAGAAAAATATTTCCGTCAATAGTGTTTCAACCGAAATCCCCGAAACTATACCACCTACTGATTATTAACTTCTAAATTTCTTATCATTGTTTTTAATCGGAAAAGGTTGAATTAGCAAACATTAAAGTTTGAACACGACATTTTGAATTCAGATTTGATTGAACGGGCTAATTTTGAGACATAATTCCGACATAATTTTGAACAAACAAAAAATAATTAAGATGACGGATTATTTATATGTACTAATTAAAACGAGCGATGACGAAAATTGGCATTTTAAATTTAGGCGGTAACGGTAGGTACATACCCCACCATACGAGCTATATATATTATTTTGTTCTACTTTTCATCGATGACCTTTTATTATTCATGTTATATTTGCTTATTTTTGCATATACACTTTACTAAAATATAGGGTTGTAGGAGAAATATAATATAGGAAAATAATGTAATTAAATTGGTTTTATAGTCAAAAAAATAATAATATTAATTTTGACAAAATGCTTGAAAATTTGACAGGAGATTCACTATAAGTCATACTTATAGTAAAAAAAAAAAAAATTGAATGTCATGTAGTATCAGTGGCGGCTTTGAGGGAGAGGCAAGTAAGGCAGCGCCTCATATAAAATGTTGTAGTAAATAATACTCTAAATGTATACTTCTTGGCTCACCGACAGCACACATTGGAATGTTGTACTTACTTATGATGTCATTTTTTGATTTTCCAAGCGGTTTTCATAATATCTGGGAAAAACCCTGATAAAACCTAAGAAATTCGGTAAATTTACTAAAATAATGCTTTTATTTATTATTTTTCAATTCTGTTATTTGTTTTTATTCAGTTAAAAGTATTCGTAGAGACTTAAAATTTGAATTATATTTGCCTTTTCTAGACATGGTAAAATTTTAAAACAATTTAAGCCATTTTTGAGATTTTAATTGTATTTTCATAATTTTTAATTGCTAGGTAGGTACTCTGTCGTAAAATTGTTAGAATTAACAAAAATACTTGACAATTTACAGGACGATTGAGTTTAATGTAGTATTTTTTTATAAAGTAATTTTAATATCAAATTTTAACGAAACTCGTTTGATTACAAAATTATGTGGAACAAATCTAATTTTAGATTCTAAGTAGAGTGAAAAATTTTACGGTTTTACAAAGATATTTATTTTTATTTTTTTCTATCTGTGCGCAACTTTTTTATCAGAAGACTTGCTTAGATTTTTAGTATAACACCTTTTCTGAAAGAAAATCGGTATGAGGAGGTACTTTAGGGATGTTATTTTTCGATTTTCTCAAGAGTTTTCTCATCAAATTTGAAATAATTTGAAATACCGAAAAAAAAACCGGGAAAATTTACAAAATAATATTTGTGTAATATTAAAATTTTTTTTTCCTGTGAACAACTTTTCAACCAGCAATTTCGCACCAACTTATAAAGATAGAAATGTTTCGAAAAGAAAATTTCACTAGGGAGGTTATTTTTCGGTTTTCTTAAGAATTTTCCCAGCAAATGTAAAAAACCGAGATAAAACATGGGAAAACTGGGAAAATTGGTATAACATTAAACATAAATCCTATTTAATTATAATATAACTATAATATGGCCTATATATTGTCGACAAAGCATCGCTATCAACGGAATTCCACTCAGAATTGTTTTTTCATTGGAAGTACAGATAGACATATTATCTATAACAGTGGCTGGCTGTACGGTTGCACCCGTCTCCATTATCCTGGGACGTTCTTTTTTTTTTCGAAGATAAACACGGCGTGAAGTAAATATCGATTCTCGGTCCCCTATATGTTTATTATAACAATACGATATTAAATATCGACAAAGTAATCCGGATAATAATATCCGTATGTAAATTAAGTCGTGTATACACATACACATATTTTATAATCAAGTTGTCTCTGTTATATAACTTTAGGTATAATATGTATGTATTTTGACATGTATAATATATTAAACTGTCTACTAATGGATAATATTATATTATTACTGTTGTATAGAATTTCTTTTACATTAGAAAGTGTATAGATTTTTTATATATTATATATATTTAATCGAGTCAAATAAACTAGAAATTATTATAGTAGGTACCTATTTGAGTTTATCATAATTTAATGAATTTATGAGAATCCGGAATTTTGGATTAAAAGGACGCTATTACACGCATCTAGTGGATCTATGGATTTCATTAAAATTAGAGAAATGAAACTATATGCGAGTATACGACAAATTTATAATATTACTATAAAATGCAACGATAGTAATGATGATAATGATCACTGCTTCCAACCTCCTAACTGCTACACATCACATCAGTACTCATATTTTAGAATTTTCTAAAAATACATCTTTACCATATCTCTATATCATAATTTGTTTTTATCATTTTCGACCAATTGCCCTCTAGTTTCCACCCTTCCTGAATGACACAAAATATAAAATAGCCAATAGATACATGCAGCTGTGTGTGTTTAATCTAAGAAAACCAAACCTCGATATTACATGCATGTTTTTAAAACTATTTACGGTTGAATTAAATTTTTTAACACAGTAATCAAAAAATCGAATTTGAACTGTTGATTTGAATAAAAATTTCAACATGGACTAAAAGCTTTTAGATGGCCCATCCAGGTCTCCCTTGGCAAAACCACTATACATATTAAATATTTATACTGAGTTTTACATGAAAAATTTTAATTTATATGAAAATGTATCAACTCAAAATATTTAAATTTGGTATTTAACCTTCAGTTACAGCTTTGTTAAAATGTGTTTGCGTTAAACTATTGATTTTGGTGTCTCAATATGTGCATGTGTCCAACTAAGTTTAAATACAGATTTATATTTAAAATTTAAAATTTAAACTATTAAACAAATTACAGGGTATTCCCCAAAGAAAATATACTCATCACAATATCTTCTACAATAATACAGATAATCAAATTCTGTTTTTTTTTTTTATTACTCTCAAGGATAAGGACTAAAAGTATTTATAATTGAATTAAATTTGTATGTTTTAATAAAAACAATTAAAAAAAGATTTCCTAGGATAATGGGGTCGGGTGCAGCCACTGTTTTAGATAGTTTAATGTATACCTGTAAGCAGCGATAAACCATTGTTAACGAAAAATCTATTCTGAGTGGAGTTCAGTTAATAGTGTTGCTATATCAACAATGTATATGACATATTATAGTAAAATAATTGCATTATATATCTTTTTTAATAATATTTGTTTGTGTTGTATCTATTTTCCTGGTTTTCTCATGTTTTATCTTGGTTTTTCATATTTGCTGGGAAAATTATTAGAAAAATCGAAAAATGACCTCCTTAAAAGTACCTCCCCAGTCAGCTTAACTTTAAAAAAAAGTGCTATCATTATAAATGAGATCAAAATTACTGGTAGAAAAGCTGTTCTTAGGAAAAAGGAAAGCCGTAATATATTATAGTAACTAATACCTTCAATTCTTATATTTTCCAGTTTTCCTCCTTTTTTCGGTTTTTAAAATTTGATGAGAAAACTTTTAAGAAAAACGAAAAATTATTTCTTTAAAGACTTCCCCAGTCGGATATTTCAGGGAAAAAAAAAATCTTTGTAAAACCATAAGCTTCTTCACTCCACTCAAAATCTAAAAAAAACTTTATTTTATTTTTTTTTTTAAACTAGAAGATTGCCATTTAATATAGTTCATTCTTTTGAAAATGTTGACATTTCAAATTTTTATTTTTATTAAATTTATGATTTCTAGTAATTTATAAAAGTTAAAAGAAATGTATCAATAATTATGGGCTATAAACGTAGTCGTTTATTTGATTATTATTATTATATAACCAATTGACTATACACTTTTTTTCTGAACTATTAAAAATGATTAAAAATCACGATTTTAATAGAAATAAAAAGTTGAAATGTCAAAATTTTCAAAAGAATGAACTGTATTAAATGGCAATCTTGAAGTTTTAAAAAAAAAAAAAATAAAGTTATTCTTGGATTTCGAGTGAAGTAAAGAAGTTATGGTTTTACAAAGATGTTTATTTTTTTATTTTTTTTTTCAGGAAATCTGACTGGGGATGAACTTAAGAGAAGTCATTTTTTGATTTTCTCAGGAGTTTTCTCATTAAATTTTAAAAACCGAAACAAAGCGAAGGAAAAGCGGGAAAATATTAGAAATGTAGGTATTAATTAAAAAATATTATGGCCTTCTTTTTTCCTGTGAACAACTTTTACCAGAAATTTTGCTCCGATTTATAATTATGGCAATTTTTTCAAATGGATATTTGACTAGGAAAGTACATTATAGATTTTTTTTCGATTTACTCCGGAATTTTCTCAGCAAATGTGAAAAACCAGGAAGAACGTAGAAAAACTGGGAAAATCGGTACAATATTAAACAAAATATATTATTAAAGTAAATATCGGCCAATTTCGTTGATATCGGCAATAGCTAAAGTTATTGAAAAGTGTGGTCAAATTTACCTTTGTAGATTTATCAAAGAAAAGAATATCATTAGTGAAAAAACCAGTTTGTTTTTAGATATAATGTGGTTAGCCAAGATGCAATTACATATTTTACTAAATTAATCAATGAAGCATTAGACAAAGGCAAAAAGTGTTTAGGTATATTCTTGAATATAGTCAAAGCTTTTGATTCTATACCACATGACTTACTCCTTATAAAATTAATACAGATAATTTATTTCAAAAACTAAAAATATTAACAATTGATCCATTGTCTAATAAATTTTCAATAATGAAAATACAAATGATTAGAAAAAAACTATATATGGGATGGTTTGATTGATGTATCATTCTATTTGTTGTTATTAGGGTTATTGTGATTATTGTTATGATTATATTCTGATGTATTCTATTCTTATTCTATAAATTAACAGTTCTCAATGTAACTTATAATTATAAATATAAATTTTGTTTAATAGGCTTTCCCCTACCGACACAAGCTTAGTTTATAGGGAGGAGATATCAATTTGTAATGTAAATATTAAATATGATGTATATATATATATATATATATTTTGTTGTTGAAATAATAATAATAATAAAAAAAAGATATATATATATAAAGCCTTTTTAATTATTTTATTATAGTATGACTATATTGTTGATAAAGCATTACTATCAACTGAACTTAGCTCAGAATCCTTTTTCGTTGAAAATGGTTTATCGTTGCTTACAGGTATACATTGAATCACCTATAACAGTGGCTGCACCTGTCTCCATTCCCCTAGGACGTCTTTTTAAAATTATAATAAATCTTCAACAATTTTTTATTGTTATAGATATCGTTCGATTCTGCTGAATGTATGCGGCACAACAATTTGGACTGACTTTCATGAATATATGATAGGGTTTAGAAATACATGAAAGAAAAAAATAGTAGCCAATTAATGTAACACGGACAAAAATTACATAATAATATAATATATTATATTTTCACTGGAGAAGCCAGACAAACATAATATTCTTAGGAATACAATCCGCTACCATATTACATACCTACCTACATTCGGAATACTGGACTAAATTTTTAATTTAATTATTAAAAACTTATAAGCATGTATTCTCATCACATTTATAAAACACATACCTATATTACGAATGTTGCAGTAAGTATAGTTACAATAAAACTCTAATACCGTTCAAAACGTATATAAAGTTTTCGATTTGACATAGGTAATAACATATTTACTCGATACGGGAAAAATTAAATTATTTACACGATGGTAAGTTAAAAAAATATTTAGACGTATTTTTATTATTATTATAAAGAGATATTACCTATATACAGGGTTGGATTGTTTTTTATATCATGATCCAGCGATTATCTACAAAGGTTTTGAATACAATTTATTTTAATTTATCATTATAGAAAATTATTGAAGGATCTTACATTTAAAAGATTTTTAACATTTTAAACCTTGTTCCGCATTCAAAAAACACGTATTAACTTTTGATTTTCAAATAACAACCATTAATTTTTAAAAATAAAATATTTTTCTAAAAGTGTTGTTATGTTGATTTTGAATAATGAATTGGCTATTTATGAGTTTTAACAGTTTAAAATTAAGGCCAGAGGCGTAGGGAATGTTTATCATCTAAAAATGTATGTGGAGTTTATTATACCTATTTTTTCTGTCTAGATTTTAACCTTTCAAATTCATAATCCGTAGGTAGGTATGATATTTGTATATCAACATATTTGAGAAAACTATTTATTTTTTAGATTCCAATTTACAATTATAGCACTTTTTCTGAAAGGAAATTTGACTTGGGTAGTACTTTAAGAAGATCATTTTTTGATTTTTTCAGGAGTTTTCACAATAAATTGAAAACAACGAAAGAATTATAAGAAAATGTATTAATTTCAAATCATAAATTTTACGCCTTTTAAAATACGTATAACCAAACTCCTCAGAATCGTTTTTAGTTAGCAAAGATGAATCATTGAATACAGGTATACATTAAATCTTACCTCCCCAACTTTTTACCTACAACAGTGGCCCACTTATCATGCAAAGTATGTCCGTCTTTTTTCTGAGTCTGAATGGAGTTTTATCAATTTAAAACGTTAATATATGCTCATTAAGGTAAAACGAGTAGAGGTATAAATTTGAAAATAGTGCTTTTCAATCAATTCCATAATAATGATTAAATAGAACATGAATCAAATTTGTTTTGTATTTTATGAAAATAATCACTGGACCACGATAAAAAAAATCATCCTGTACAAAATTTACATAAATTGTTGTTTTTTTTTTTATATATATATATATAGTTGAAAGTAAAATATACATTGCCTTATTCCATTTGCCGTTTGACCACGTCATACACGACGCTAAGTAACATTCGGTGTTTGTCTTCGGTACGAGTGGAAGTAAGATAGTTTTAAAATATTGACATTATGTTTTCTATAGTAGGTATAGATATATTTTTCAAACCTTGTATATTATGTACTGTTAATAATTACAGTTCATTAGCATGTGTATGGTGATTATGTAAAATATAAACATTGCATTTGTGAGATTTAGGTACACCGTACTACACATACACGTACACACACATACACACACACGTCATGTTCACATTGAATTAAACACACCGAATAATTTGAAAATAAAAGATATTAAATGTGTAATAAACTATTTAAATACATGCAAATCTAGTAAGTCATTTAATGAAACTACGCCACTAAACTATGTTATCGAAGATATTTATCATGTGGATGATTAAATTATATCTAATTTGTATTATTATTAGGTATTCGTCACGAGCTTACGTTACAACATTACAATAGGATTGAAACGGAAAAATAATTATGTTTTTCAAATATTTGTATCGTATGAATCCGGTGTGATATTGGTTATTTAATTTGTTTTAGTTATATTACCACATAATAAATAGGTGTGGGTACGCATAATAATTTTCAGTTTTATTTTGTTTTTTTGTTTTTTACAGGTTGAAGGTTATTATCAATATAAAACGGATATTGATTTTTTTAAATATTTTCTAATATAGTCGTATTCGTAAAGGTATTCTAGTCGTCGAGTACATATACATTATATTTACTACATATACATATTCATATGCATATATACACATACATTATATTTAAAGTAAACACTTGTATGCTAAGATCGCAAGTTATTTTAATAAATTTTAAAAAACAATTCTGTTAGTTTATATGATTGATTTATGATTTTAAAAAATATTATCGATGGTTGATGTAGAAAAGAGATGGTATTATGATTTTATTATGTGGCTCCCCCCCCGGATGGAAAATAATTTATTAAAAGGATGCCATACCCTGCACATTTACTGTACAAACGGGTGATATAGCAAATTTACGCTTAGGAGGACAAATTTTGTGCGCCTTTATTTTTAACATGAAAGCAAATAGACTTATTACTAAACTTAAAAATAGGTAAGAAGATTATGTCTTAGCGTTGATTTTTTGTCAATATTTTCAATTTTTTAGCATGATAAATTATTTTTAAATTATGATATTTAACATACTCATATCATATTTAAAAATAAAAATATCAAAAAATAGCGCACATGTCTTCTTACCTTTAATTTTTGTAATAGGTCAATTTGGTTTAATATTAAAATTAACGGTACAAAATGTGTCTCACCGAACGTAAATTTGCTATGCCTCGTGTTTGTAAGACTGAGATAGTGGATGTCGGTATGGCGTCCTCTTAAATAAACTTTGTGTGGGGTTCCCCTTACCCTTCATACAGATATTTGTATTACTGTATTAGATTTTGAGTGTAATGAAGAAGCTTTTAATTTTACTAAGATGTGTTTTTTTTTTAGGAAAACATTTTTTCGGTTATTAAAATTGCTCCCATTAATTTGTTATACTCTCTAAAAGATGTAGATTTTCGCTGATAGTACTTTATATGAAAAAAAATGTCTAGATTCCTTCTATAAATGTTATATTATACTTCTACCCAAACTTAATATATATGTATATAAAACAGATTATATTACAGGTAATTTACGTACTGCTTCAAATAGGTTGAGTAATGTTACCTGCAGTACAATATAAGATATTTGATACAGGAATATAGATTTTCACCCTATATATTATTACGATATACCCCGTGGTTCTTATATTTCATTATATATCTCATATTTATACCATTTATCTAATATTATATATTATTGTCTAGTTGTGCTCAGTTTGTAATTTTTATTAGCACTGTGAATTCAATTTGTATAGTATTAGTCGATGATTGTTCCCTCTTTTACTACGAGTTGATATTTTCAATTTTTAATTTAAGTGGTCGATAGGTGAAAATAAAAATATAATGCCAGTAATTGCTATGTCTTGCGCTGTTTGTAAATGTCGGTTTACCTACGTAGATTGTCCAGTGAAATGTGACGGCTGTTCGAAGCGCGTTCACGGAAAATGTTCAAAGCTTTCCGCAAATGAATTGCACTGCTTTAATTCAAAAAATCGAATTTTAAAGTTTTTTTGCGATACGTGCGATTCGTGTAGGTTAGTTACAGAAATCGGACAACGGGATAATATAGAGGAGTTGGTAAATATATGTTTTAAATGTTATAAATAGTCCAAAGAAATAAATTATTATTATTGGCGTGAATGAGGTCAGTCGGAATATTATTTATATGCGTGCGTGCTGCAATTCGGTCGATTCCTTTGGCAAATCAGTACAGATTTGCGGACGAAATCCAAGAAAACGCAAATAGTTTTTTCAATAAATATTTAAACATTTCGGAAATATTATATATTGGTTTTTATTTATAAAAATACATATTTTTATTACCAATATAATAAATAGTCATGTGGTTCTTAAAATGTGACTCATGCCATCCCTCACTGATAGATTATACCAACTTAAAATATAACCGGTGGATGGGGAAGCAAGATATTTATTTTCAAGTGCCTATATTATATTAATAATTGTGTTATTTCTATTTTCAGTAAATAACTGTAAAAAAATGTATTATTTTTTCATTCGATGTTAGGTTAGGTGGTCCTTGAATTGTGTAGTACTCGTAGTTTTGAAAATATTAGGATATCAGCTATATAATAACACGTTAATATAAAAACAATAATAGTTGGATAAATTTGCAATTGAATGCAACGTATAATATATATTAATACGTTATACGCAAAATGATAAAGCGCGTAATCTGTAGGTACATATTATACATATACTATTATAAAGGAAAATATTACGAGTATTTATTCATAAGCGGAACGACTATTTTTTATAGTAATATATAGGTAGATAATAGATTATATATACCGATATACCTAATTTTAAATCTAATGAATAAATCATTAAGCTATTAGCAGTTGAGGCAGTAAATATATTTACTGTCGTGACTTCTAATGAATATTTTTACTATATATGGGTCTCGTCCGTAATTATCTACTTCTACTGTCTATATAGGTACTATTCTTTACATTAATAATAATTTGTCTATTCGACCAGTAATTTTTATGTTTAGTTTTTACATGTTATGATATTTTATCGTGTTTAGGTGAACACTATATAAATCAGTACGAGTGGGATAGTATAATATCTTCTCATTTCCTATATAGCATTGAAAAATAAATGAAATATTTTCAATAATATTAATCAAACAATAATAATAATAATATTAAATAAATAATAATAAGGAGCAGTTAAATAATGAGAGGGGGTGAAGGAGATACATATCTCTCTTTCATAACCTTTTCTCGTTCAGTATTTATAATCATACATACATTTATTTAAAACAAATAAATCTAAATAATAATTAATAATTATTTAAAATGTTTAAAATCTCAGCCTCATTCCCTCCCTCGCTAAAATAAAATCATTTGGCTGCCACTGATTATTACAGGATAATATTATATGTTATCGTTAGACCACCACTGATTAGGATGTAATTATAATATATTATATGTATTGTTTTTTAACAAAACTATAGTGTGTAATCGCCAAAACAACTAAATTAATTTGTTTATAGTTTTTTATGCAGTTATACCGAATTGTTTAAAAATGATACTGTACAATTATGTTTTGTCGATTGATTGATTTACTACAAACGTACAATTTTATTTTATTTTTTGTGTTAATTTATTTAAGAAAAATATCTACTATGTATTTAAAAATTTCATTAAGGTATCTGCGGGTTAATTAAATACAAATAGGTACCATAACCTATTTAGGCCATTTAAAATACCTACAAAACAAATTTAATACCTATTTGTTTACAGGAAAATCCGTTTCGCGAAAATAGCGATTTACATAAAATAAACAAATTTTCAAAAAACCCTATGGATATTTTTCGCGAATGGTACAATGAACATATGACAACGAATGCGTCCGTAACTTCCGCCAAAGCATTTAGTCTAGCTACTGTTTCTAAGTAAGTCTATTACATCATAAGTGCAAATAGCACAAATATTCAACTCTGTAATAAATAGAATACGTGGGGGATTTGAATATAAGAAAGTTAAATACTTAACCCCGCTAGTCACTTAAACTATTGATTACCTTTCTTTATATTAGGTATCTACCTTTTCTATGAGGACAAAAAGATTTTAAATAGTGTCATCATACGAATAACATTTATTTCAATGTATACTTCCAAATTCCAAATTTTAAATGAAGTATATAAGTTTTCAAAAACCATACCATATCACCCGGAATACCCATATAGTCGTCAACTAATTCGTAAATTATCGAATATAGAATACACACTGCTTGTCAGACGTGTAACTAGGAATTTCCTAAGGAAGATGTTTTGAAAAAATGCAAAATTGTTTTCATTATCACTATTTATTAGTTAAACTCTTAATAAGAGAGCGTGTTCCGATATAGCAAATGAGCATTCTGCAGGGATAACTTTGTGCTATTACCTATGGTTTTACCTATTACCTATATTGTAATGAATTGGGTTATTATCAAACTTAAAGATAACGACATTATCTGTAGGTACAACATTGGTGTTATTTTGTTTAAATTTAAATTTTCAAGCGAACATTTTCTATAAGTATTACTTATTTAATTATGATATTTCGCATGCCTACACGTTACCGAGATAATGTTTCTAATATTTTAACTAACAGCACAATATTATGACTTCTGAACACGAATTTGTTAGTTACGCTCTTTTAAGACGGAGACAATACATACAAATAGTGCCTTCTTAAGAAAATGCACCGAAATAAATAATAATATTTTTGTATCTTTCTTGATAGAAAAATGAAAATTGTTGTCAATTATATTAATGGCTGTGATTAACAAATAACTATAAATCACTGTCATTATTAGTGATATTAATAATCAATCATCTTTCACATCATAATTTTTTTTTTATAATACATAGATGACAATAAAATTTACATAGTTATATTAATGGTTGAACGTAAATGCACTAACTACGGTGCAACGCATCATTCCCGAAATCTGATCCCTTTAATAGTAGATAGCAGTAGTGGAGAAGTAGAAGGCGAATCACGAATATGAATCAGAATTAAAGAACTAATATCTTGTATTGTGGATGATTTATATTAAATTAATGTAAAAAGAACACACGCGAAGATTCAGATGTTTTTAGATGTTTTAAACACTGGGTTTACCTAATGAATTGAACTCGGGTAGTGTGTACTATTAGATATATAGAAAAGATGTGAGAGAGTGCGCATCCGGTCAAGTGTTTTTTTTTGTAAATTTCATTATCTTTTATTTATATAATACAGTAAAACGTCCGTTAATGGTAATTTTTTTTTTTTTTTGGTCCCGTTAAGTGTTATGCCTCTAGAAGAAACTTTTAAAGGACGGTCACCTTTAAAAAGCGGTCATTATTTTCGGTCCTTTCGATGACCGTTATATGGAAGTTTTACTGTACTGATACTTAGAAGGAACAGATTTAAAGGAACTCGTTCCTTTGATTTTGTTCACTTTTCAGGAATTTAATTGAAAAGAAAAATTATACATCAATATAAAAAACTGCTCTGTTATTTTCCACCGAGGAGGTGAAACCTGGGGAAGGTTTCATCCGGATACATTGGTTTTACATATAAATCTACGGGTTCAATGAATTATTCTCCGGGTCATCGTAACATTATTAATATTATAGTATAATATTGTATATAGTTTGTCAATAAGCTAAAATATACGTATCGATAAAATACGATTTATTGACTATTGTTATACATCAAATTTACACATGGTATCCTTTGCTGATGATTTTTTTTCTTTTACTTATCAGTCTGTCTCCGGGTCTACCATCTTTAAAAGATGGCAACCCTAACTATGCGATATCACTGTATTAGTTTTAATTTTCTAAAAGCAGGAAACCTCAACAAATTAGAAATGACAATAATAATAATATTATATACCTATTATTTCTAGTAATAAAATAAAAATAAAACCAAAATTATATTTATCTCCCTCATTGACAGAAACCATTTTTGAGACTCTATTAAAAATCTACTTTCATCATAATTTTCATGAAATTTCGGGGGTGAGGTGAACCCCTAACCCCCTCCTCCCTTGTACACCCGCCTGAGAACACTGAACAACACATAATAATTATATTTCATAATATTTTAAGATGCATATTATATCAAAGTATTCTTTTTATGGGAATATTTTCAAAATCATTAATCACACTTTCAACATTGATATTACTTACTAACTCTTGTTCTATAAATAAAACTAATAATGCATTGAGCCTTTCTTGTGTCATGATGGTGCTTTTTAATTTAGTTTTTACTGTTGACACTTTTGAAAAACTTCTTTCGCATCCACAACTGGTTACTGGTATAACCACCAAATATATTACATTATTAGATAGTTATAAAATGTTTTGAAGGTATCAGATAATTTATATGTGTTTGAGTATATTACAATACGAAGGGGAGGGGAATCATAGATACCTATATGAAATCCTGTTTCAATTGTTTCAATTGGCTGTTGGTGGTGCGTACGTTTTGAAGACTTCGATTTTGGATGTTAGGTACACGCTATTATTTATTTTTTCTTATGTCTTAAAATTAGTAGTCTTACAGTAGCTGTTCTTGTTATTTCTAATTTGAACACTGCGTACTATCTACTCCAATAATATTTTTTGCACTATTCAAATACTATAAGTTTGTATTAATAATTGATTATTATAAATTATTGATTGTGTGAGTTTTCAATATTTATTATTATTTATTTTCGTCAGCACTGGAAAAGTCTCTTGCCGTAGTTTAATTCTGCGACGTTTAGACGAAGACGGGTTCGTGATGATGACCGACGGAAGGAGCAGAAAATCGAAGGATTTGGTAATACTTATATTTTAACGATGGCTTCAATTTTTTCTTTGTCTACTATATTGTATGAATCACGTAGCTAAACTGTTACCAGTTCGGAAATAAAAATGTATCTATATATTATAGTATATATATATATGTATGTGTATAAATAAGCTATTTATATTTACCTACAACATTTTTATTTAAACAACGTCACATTTTAAGAATGTTGAACACATGATAATATGTAAAGTATTTTTTTAGTTTACAAATTTCCATGATTATTTTTTTATTTTTTCTGATTTGTAAACGAGTGGTATCTATTTGTGAGCTTAACCCATATATAATATTTATTATTATAAAACTATATGTTTTATAAATATGATTAACATTTCAGAAATCATTTTTAAAAACACATCTAATAATTAATATGAGTTAGGTACGTGATATAGATTTGTAGACAACATTTTTAGCAGCATGGTATTTGTAATTATCATTTTGTGTTCTGAGTAATAGAAAAAAAAGAAAAAATTTCGCTCAATTCAGGTTTTTAAAGATTTCCGGTTCGAGCAACCCGAATTTTTTATTTTAGTTTAATTTTCTCATTTGCATCTTACACGATTACATTTTAAATTGATTAATTATTTATATTATGTGCACGATGTAGTACTCAGCGTTAATTTAAACAAAATGTTAAATAATAAACGCGGGTTTTCAAAAAAATATCAGGTTTATGTATTTTATTAATTATGAGTGGGTTTATGTACATAATATGTAGGCAGGCAATCCTCAGGCCTCCATGGTGTTCTTATGGTTGGACAAAGCGGCAGATGGCTTGCCGCAGACCAGACAGGTACGTATCGAAGGATCCGTGAAAATGTTGAACGCTGATAACATGAAAGAATTATACGACATCGAACCGCTGTTTTGTAAGATCCGCGCTCAGATCTGCGAACAAGGAAAAGTGGTCGAGTGGGAGCAATTGAAACGCGATCACGATCAGTTATTTAACAAAGTTATCAATAACGATATTCAGCTGCCCAGACCCGACCATATGTGAGTGTATTATTATATTTTATACAGAATGTATAGTATATACCTTGAATAAGTACCGATTAATTGAGATTATAAGTACTACTAATTTTTTCTTAAGTGTACTGTATACATAATAATGTATGCACTCGATATTGTAACAAATCAAATAATGAAAATTAACAATTATAGAAAATCCACAATAAACAATTACATATAACATTATATTCTAATCAATTTAATTTCATTATACTAATTTACAGAGTCGCTTACAAACTTGTCCCGAACGTGATTGAATTTTATGAAGCGATAGGACAAAAAATCGGGGACAGACTATTGTTTGTCAGAGACGGAATTTTATGGCAACATAATAATATAGCAGCATAATAATAATGAGTTAATTATAAATTATAGTATATAAAACTATTTTAAAAAATTATACATGAGTGAATTATGCACCAAAGTTTGCTTAATTTTGTAACACTGAATAAAAAATAAAAGAAAAAAAATATACATTTTTAAATATACAAATATTATTTTGATACTATAATATTATTTGTTTTTTTATTATTTACAATTCTACAGTTATTACGAAATTCAAACTGTTTAGATTGTAAACGAAATGGTGGAGTTATTGTGCAAGTTTTACTATAGTATAGAATTTTATTTTTGCGAGAAACCCTTATTTGCGCAAGTAAAAGTGTTCCAAGTGCTTTTCATATTTCAGGTGATTTATTTGAGTGGGTACACTCACTCTCTCGGAAAGTACTAACTTTTTCTGGAATTTGTTTCTAGAACATTTAAGAAACAAGCAGCTCTACAAGGAGAGTAGTGGTGGATTATTAACACGCCGCACGCCGTACCTCCACACAAAATGATACTCCACTACTCTCCACTACTTTCCACCAACCCAAACTTAAAAGTGGAATATCTCATCAACAGCTTAACAGAAATCAAACATTTCATTACTAAAATTAATTTTAACTTATACTCTATCTATGTATGGACTTTTAAATATAGGTGGCCAAAATTTTTGAAAATCAAAAGTAGGTAGTGGTTTTACCACTGAAAATAAATGTGACAAAAAATAACAAATATATAAAATTGTAGAGCTGCTTGTTTCTTAAATGTTCTAGAAAATGAATCCCGAAAAAAGTTAATACTTTCAGAGATAATGAGTATATCTTCTTAAATGGATCACCAGTACTGATAAATATTGTATGGATTTTAAAAGAAAGGTAATTTTTTTCGGTTCTTTCCATTACTACACAAATACAGACACGACCTAATACTACACAGAATACATCATCTAATTCCGCACACAATTAGTTTTACAACGATGTTTATTTTTTTTTTTTATTTCTGTGGAAAATTTTTTTACCAGCAATTTTGCTTCGATTTTCAATGATAGTACTTTTTCTGAAATTAAATCGGACTGAAGAGGTTTTTCAGAAACTTAATTTTTTGGTTTTTACAAAAATTTTCCCAACAAACGGGAAAAATAATTAAAACGGAAAAATGTACAAAATGTATTATGGCCATTTTTAATCATGTGAGCAACTTTTTTACCAGCAATTTCGCTCAGATTCAAAATGATACCACTTTTTCTAAAAGGAATTCTGACTGGAAAGGTACTTTAAAGAGATCATTTTTTGATTTTCCCAAGAGTTTTCCCAATAAATGGGAAAATCGAGAAAATAGGGACAATATTAAACGAATATTTTACAAACGAATATTACATCAGAATTTTACATTACGAATAATAACAATTATTTTACCATAATAGGTCATATATATTGTTGACAAATCAACACTATCAACCGAAACCTGCTCGGAATCGTTTTTTTTATTAGCAAATAGCAATGGTTAATTTTAGCTTGCAGATACACGTTAAATTACCTATAACAGTGGTTGCACCCGTCCCAATTATTCTAGGACAGCCTTTCTATCGTTACATTGTATACCAAATTCATGGTAAAATGACCTACATAAATAACGAAAAACGTGGCTCTCCTCTGTTAAAACGTTAATTGAATTAAGAAATACCTACACTAAAATCGATAAACGAATAAAAGGCGATTGTCTACTTGTGCCGTCCGCCCCCCTCCAAATTCAAGCATTTCTTACAATACACCATCGCTTAACAATATTAGTACCCATGTACTTTGAGTACTATATTTGTGGGTATCATATTCGCATCCAACTATCGTGATCAATAAAATCTTTATCGGACGACAGCCACCGATATGTCACGACAGTCTTTCGGCCCCCGTCAAAACAATATGCGTGCTAAAATAAATGCATATTTCTTTGATTAATTCGCGTGTAGGTGTATTCGTATTGCTTTTTGTGATATGAACAATATAATGTATTGAGTTATTTTTGTTTATAATATTATAATTTATATTCGTACGAAGATAACTGAAATTCATTATAATAAAGAGCAGACACTGAGGATGGGTATTTCACTGTTATTATACAGATAAGAATTAGGAGAGTAGGATACATAAAGTTATTCAAATGTTTGCAACGGAAAATCATAGCTGACAAAATTCAACATTAAATAAAAGTTCTAACAAAATTTATCGTGGTTGAAATACCGTCATTTTCGTCAAAATTTGATTTTAAAACGTTTATAAAAATACTACAACGTTACACCCACCTTTTTTTTTTATTTTGACCACTACGTACTACTACTATTTTCTGATTTTTTAGTCCATTGATTCATATTCGTCCGTAAAAACGACCGTACCCCTTTCCCTTAAATGAGTAACAACAAGTCTCATCAGTAAGGTAGTTATTATACGAAATTGGAGTCAATTTTAAAAACTGTCACCGACGTACCGGCGTGGTGATAATATGATATTTGAAGTTCCGTTTCCGGAATACTTTTTTCGGTGTTACTATTTTTTAAATTTGTTTGTAAGTTTGCCAAAAACATCAGAGTATAACCTTACATTCCTTATGCACACTGTTGTTATATTTATTCTTTAAGTCTAAAATAAGTTAATGCTTTAATATATTTTCATATTTTCCATTAGTCACTTACGTATAATAATGAGTAGATAATTAATTGATTTATTTTGTATTTCATTCATTAGGAAATAAATCATTTGACAATAATATTCAACAGTATTTCGGACTATTTAGCTGGAAATTACATGTTTTCGTATTCAATTTTTCCTCCAAAACTATATGGTGTAATAATGAATCAACAAATGCACGTGAATCGTTTCATTCAAAATTTAACAGTCATTTTTATCATCACTATCCGAATTTAAATGCAATATTTGTTAGCGATTTACTAAATATACAGATAGAAACATACGTTAAAATTAGAAGTAGTGACGTACCACGGCTTCGGTGGACAAAAGTGATTTCAAAATATGAGAAGCTAATAGGTACCTACATAAACGAGCAAAATATAAAATACGAACCAGAAAAAATGATGTTATCGAAATAAATGAATATTAATCAGTAATTATTACTAATTCTGATTCAGTAGAATGACCTTAGGCAAAATTACTATACTGTATGTATAGCTACTAATAATTTGTACATATCGATTATTAAGATGCCTGCGTAATACGGATGTTATTTTTCGTTATATTGGAAATATATGTTATCTATAATTATTGTAATAAACTTTTATCGAATGTAATAATGTAACAACTGATAATACTAAATGAAAATACTGCATGATTCGTATATAAAATACAAAATAGGATAATAGATTTGTTTTTAAAAAAATGAAACAATATTTTTTATAATTTTTTTTTCCTGAATGTATGGTTGTCACAGTTTAGTGATAGAAAAATAGACATGCTTCGTACTTTTACAGCCATTGTTGTAGGTGGGAAGTTAAAAAGGTGGAGGGGAAATTTAATGTATCACTGTACGATTAACCATTGTTAACGAAAAACGATTCTGAGCGGATAAGTTCGGTTAATAGCGTTGCTTTGTCAACAATATATATGTCATATACCTATGGTAAAATTATATATGTATTATATATTTTCTTTAATAATATTTGTTTAGTATAATTGTACCTATTTCCAGTTTTTCTACGTTTTTTCCCATTTATTATGAAAATTCTTGGGAAAATCAAAAAGTTACCACCTCAGTAAGATTTGATTGTAAATCGGAGCAAAATTGCTGTAAGAAAAGTTGTCCATAGAAAAAAAAAATAACAATTACATTATTGTAAATAATCAATACATTCCTCGCTTCGCTCAGAATCTAAAATATGACACATTCATTGTATTTTAATACAATATTATGTTCATATAAATTCACATGCATATACATAATCAAGTTTTTAAATTGTATTTTATCATTTTAATTGTAATGACAAACTGCTATTATGACTAATCCTTTTAATTAGTCCCTTTAATGTCATTTTAAACGGTGTATACTATAATTTATAAAACAAATACCTATTATAATGTTTTGTAATTTTATATTTTGAAGTTTGTAATTTATACATTTTTACAACTATGACTACTTATCTAGTGTAGGAATTAACACTATGTCAATGTTAGAGATTACCTACTTCTGTAGAAGTTTACCATCCTCAAATTGCACCGCTAATCATGTTTTATTATTATGCGATACAATATTTTTTGTTACAATACAACTTTAGTTGTTTATATCTGATAATATTTACATTATCTGTAGGTATTATTATTATTTTTTATAATAATTAATTAAAAATATTTGTTTTTTTGTTAAGAATATTTTACATGTAAATTCAGTACCTATTCAGCATATATAAAAGTATTAAATATTAACAACTTTTATTTGTTTGTTATTAGTTGCATAGATAAAATAATATTAATAATTTGTGAGACAATTTATTTTAAGTAAATTTAGAGGTGGGCTGAGACTAGGATTAGGGGACTAAGAGATGTAGGTTATATAGATGCATTTTAATTCCATAATAATATTTGTAATTTTATAGGGCAGCAAATTTGGTATATTTTACTCGAGAGCTATATATATAATAACGTGACATTGTGAGTGGTATATTAATGGAATAAAATGTCTATAGTTTTTCTATTTTTGAACTCTAACAATCTTCTTCTGTTTACAAATAGTCAAAAAAAGTGTTTATCTCAAGTTAAATATTGCATTGAGAAACAGAAAAAAAACAAAACAATTTATACAAAATATTATACATACATGTTGACAGCCAGGAAATCTTACTATCGTTTTTTATAGTGTGCACCTTATACAATTTAAACAAAACAAAAATAATTACTCATAGGCACGTTTTATTTGACAATGTGAATATTATGCGACGGCTATTCTACCTACATTTTTACACAACAATAAATATTTATTAACTTATACTTATCATACATTGTTAAATAAATGTGTAAAACATAATTCGTTCTACCTGTATAGGAATTTGTGGGTATAACATTGTAATTAAATAGGTGTGGAATTTTTCGTCGGACTTGTGATATAGCTTGAGAAAAACTTACACTGGCAATAGGTAGATAACAAGAGTAGAAAAAAAAGCCACCAGTTTACAAAAATTCTATTTGTAACCATACTCAATCACCTTAATATGCTGTTAGATAAAACTTTTACAGGCCTTTTAATTTATCAATAATAAAAAAAAAAAAACATTCTATAAAAAGCTTTTTATTTTCTTTCTTATTTTGCTTAAAAATCAAAAACAATACAAAGTAATATGGCTTTTATTATAATTTTACAGATAACAGAATTTATAAAATAATTTTTTTCTGTATTTAATATACCTATTACAGTTATTAAATTCAACTTATTTTTTCAATTTTTTCAACATGATTAATCTATATTATAATATAAGTAATCAAATAATAGGTAGAGATAAAATAGAACAATAGGCTATAATATTATAGTTAGGTTCAGTTACGTTTTTGAAGTCTGATGACAGATTTAGTAAAACATGACATACTGTGTAAATATATGTTTATTAATTTTTTATCCTAAAATTTATATTGGCAAAAAAAAAAACACAAACCGTTGTCAAACTAAAACTTTATCATCCGTTCAGAATTTAAAAATAAATGAATGAAATATGTGTTTTTACACACGATATCGGGGTTACTCTGGGTATAAATGTGTATCGAAATCTGTGCGCATATACCTATTTGTATGTCAACAGAGCACTTTAAACTCATTTTATGCTACACAGTACACATAATACATACACAGTATAATATAGTGTTCGAATCGGTGTAGAGGGGGGGGGGGGGGAAGGTGCAACGCATACTTCAACTAATTTTTCAGAATGGTTAAGCATACCACTACTATTTGTTAGAAATNGGGGGGGGGGGGTGAAGGTGCAACGCATACTTCAACTAATTTTTCAGAATGGTTAAGCATACCACTACTATTTGTTAGAAATGGAACGCATGGGACGCAGTGGCGGATACAACAAGAGGAACGACAGGGTAATCGTCTCTCCCCCCCCGGTCGTGTTTCTTTGTTACTTAATTCTTGTATTTTACAATTGCTTATACAATATAATACATATATCATATGTATTCTTTTTTATAAAATCGCCGCCCCCTTGAACAACCTTTAGATTCCTGGAGCCATTGGTGCAACGGTACATATTTTATTGAAATTTGAATTTTAAGCCTTCATGAAAAAAAAAAAAACGATTATCAATTTTTTTTTTTATTACAAAAGATAAATATACAATCTGTTATTTGTTTTTTATATTAAGCAATTATGATATTTATATATGAATAAGTCATAGTGGTGTGAGCGAAGGGGGTGCCCAGTGTCACTGCTTCAGTAATCGCAACTTACCAAATCTATTTTAATTATATAAAAACAAATGAAATCCTAAATAATTCAACAACTTCAAATGCTATAATAATAAGAACAATTACAAGGGTGGCGCTTTTTTTTTTAAGTCCCACTGATTGTTATTTTCCAATTCGAGCTCTGGTGTTTACTATACAGGGTGATTCTTTTATCATGAACTAGTAATTTTTCCGGAGGATTGGAACAGAATAATAAGCAGTGAAGGGTTTAGTGAATTTGATTTCTGGTTTTTAATCATTATGAAAACGTTTAAGCTTTATTTTAACATTATTTTGAATTTTTTACCCCTACTACTATTACTTGAAATTAGTGTCACCTTTGGATTTTTAAATGGTACCCCTCCCCCCTTTCGATCAAAATCCAAAAAGGGAATATTTTTCTATAGAAATTGGTTTTATTGTTTTTTTTTTCTGTAAACATTTTTAACCAAAAATCATGGGTCCGATCAAAATACGACAAGAGCTTTCTGGTAATGTTTCTGATCTAGTTTTTGTATTTATTATAGGAGATTTTGTTTTGATTTTTCAAACAGATTTTTCAACTAATGTTTCATTATTTTCAATTTTGTATTTTTGTTGTAATTCGGTTAAAAATAATACTAAAAAAAAACAAAAAAAATAGCTCATACGGATGTGGCAACTGTTGTGGGTGGGTAGTGGGGAAGGTGGGATAGATAAATGGTTATTTAATTTATACCTGTTATCCCTCTTTTCCCTCTCCCCCACAGAAACGACAACGGCATTTTCTTATAACAATTATATTGTTTTGTCGCACGTCTAAAACAACCTCGTAGGTGCCTCCAAGTCATTCGCTCTGGGTCTGCGCGCGAGTCCAGCAGACTGTATTTTTTTTTTTTTCTGTAGGTAAGTAACCGGCGGAAATGAGTTCCGAACGCACCAGAACAACGTTCGGGCTCAAAATAGATCGTCGGCGGGACCGAAATCTGGGACGGTTTTAATATTTTGTCCTTACCGGCCGTTTTGCAGGAGCGGCGGGCGGCGCACCGTACAACGATAATTCACCGTACAACGATATTCGTTGTTGAATTATTGGCGTCCGGGCCGGATAGTAAACGACGACGGCGTGGCGTCGACGTAACGTATTACGAAACACGATAATAAAAATAATAATAACAATAATAATAATAATAGTAGTTCTAACGATCAATAAAAACAACGAGGGGTACACTTCGGTACACGGCCTCCGCCGGTGGCCCTCCGCGGCAGACCAAGGAAGGGCAGCCGGGCGTTCTATTTTTGGGCGCGCAAAGACGTCGTCGGACAGATGTTCCGTTTCCGCGTCGCTATCGGCCGGGCGGCGCGACATCAACAACTCCGAACGACGCTATTGCGCAACAATAATAATAGACGCAAAACGTAGCCGCGGTTTCGGGGGGGGGGGACACATCCGCCTCGCATCATTTGACTGACGAATCGCCTCCCACGAAAATTCGTTAGGAAAAAAAAAATAAAATAAAGGCCGACTCGAATGGGTATCGCTAAGGTAGGTATCTACCGATTTTTGAAGAAAAACGTTCACTCGAATCTTCGGGGGGCGGCGGGGTGGGGGTGCAGGTAAACTTGATATCTTTCCGTTTGATTTATTACATTTATAAACACCGTATTAAATGATACTATTGAGATTGCAGGGGATCGAGAAAATAATAGGGGACTTTATAGAAGAAAATAAAATCGATCGTAGTCTGTAATAAAATAAATATCAAATGATAAGACAGAATTGCGAAATATTACAAAACAATATTCATTGCTTTACGTAATTTTAAGTAACTTTGCGTCTATTTCGACAAAAGTATTCGGGACGCAAATCAACATCAGGCGGGACACTTCTGTGTGCACTGGTCGTTCGTATATCTGCGGCGGCGGCGGCAGCGCGCGTGCGTTCCTCTGCACAATCATCACACGGTCGTTTGGGCGCGGTGGTGGTGGTACGGAGGGGGACAAGACGTCGCGGTCGCCGCCGCCGTTACCGTAATCGTCGTCGCCCCCGCCGACGTGCCCGTATCCGTCGCTGTTCACGAATACTGAGGTTCGTCCGTCGTCGTCATCGCACTACACGCAATACGCGTACGTAACCGTACGTTATCATGCGCTGCTCGTTCGCGATTGCTTTCGTCGCTGCAACCTTTACAGATACTGATACTAATAATATTGTTGCGAATACTATCGCTGTCGCCGCGACGACGGATTCCTGATCGATTCGTCATTTTCTCCGAAAACGGTCCGCTGACGTCCGCGTACCAGCGTACGCAGATACATAGTCGCGCAAGCGTACGCAAGCGTACGCACACATACACACACGCAGTAACGCAGCGGGGCGAGTTTCGCTGATTTCTTCGCTATCCCGGTCAGCACGGTGAGTACCCGCCTATGTTTACGACACTATCCGAACCGAGCCAGCGGGGCTGGATCTAAACGTAAAGGTGCCCGGGCGAAGAACAATATAATATCTAGGCCCCGCGGGTGGTCCAATCTGAACATTTGGCGGTTTCGATTTTTATCGCCATCGTAATATTAGGTACACTGATTTTCCGTCTATGTTGTTGCGTTTCCCTCGTACACGGGAGGAAAAACATTCATCTCGATGATAAGACGGTAAAATCACTTGGCAACACCATTGTTAAAGTCTAATGCGGGTGCTTAAAGTATTTAATTTCATTAACATTATAACGATCCAATATTTTGTTCGAAATGTGGGTACAATTATATAATGCTTACCTATCTACCCGTTAATGGTTTACACATCTTGTTGCATATTTCATTATTGTTTCACGAAGTGTAAAAACATTTCTTAATAGATAAATATTTTATTGAGTTGCGCAGAGTAGAGTGTATTTGAATGTAATCTTGGACTAACACCTTATTTCAACTATCTGATTCTTAAGTATATAATTTTTACAATTTTTTAATACAATCTCTTATATTTGGTGACCAGGGTCCTCATTCTGATGCGATACGATTGTTATTTTTTGACATTTTAATAAACGATGCTGGTACAGCGGCCGTTTGTCTCCACAGTTTCCATTGTGCCAGTGACTTCAAATAGTACGAAACAGTGATAAATGAACGGCCCCTAAAAATACTGGGAGGTTCCCATCCTTCAAATTACTTACTTACCCACCGCTGAAACAGTTTATTTCATTGTGCGTTCTTGTCTCCCCGAGAGAAGGTCGCTAGAAAACTCCCTGATCCACTGCTACTCTGTTCGGAAAACAAACACCAATCATTTGTCGAATCTCACAGTTTACCCTGTTTACTGTTTTCAGATGGCCACTCTTTCACTGAGAATATTGATAGTTGAGCAAGATGTCACCAAAACAATGCAATTTGACCCGACTATATCCGTGTACAATGCTTGCCAATTGATCAGAGAAAAAATATCGGATACCAATTTGGACCAACGTAAGTATTTACCGTCAACTTATCATACTTGGGTAAAATACTTTTTAAAAATACCTATTCAGAATAAATATTCGAGTACATAACTACAAAAAATACTATTTAGAATTTATAGATACCTACATACTTGAATACTTAACAACAATATTTTAAGAATATATGATAAAAAAAATACACTAGTTTATAGATGGTGATAGGTGACAATATGATAAATTAATAATGCATTATATTTTAACTATTAGGAATATCGATAAATGTTTTAAATCATGTATACCACTTGGTGAAAAATAAAAGTTATACAAATTTATTATTTTTTAAACATTTTTCTTACAAGAACTGGAGGTTCGATATCTACAATTTTATATGTATATCTACTAGGTTAGGTTTTATACCTACAGTTTTATATGTACCTACCTACAACATTGATTTGATTTTTCTTTTGATAAATTCGTTTTTTTTTTTTATGATTTTTTTTATTCCACATACGTGTTTATCTATTTTCGATTTAAATTAATTATGTTGTTTGTACTATTTTGGTTTGCTTAGTTTCATATTCTGTGGTGATGAGAATTTTATGGTTGAAAACAACAAAATAAATAAGTACGATTAATTACAAATATTTCTATCTAATTATGATTATTTGTATTAAATTATAAATAAAGTACTTATCTAGTAGATTCCTATTTTTTCAAAATTTTAAGGTATATTTTTTAAATTTAAATACTAAATTATGTCTAATAAAATAACTATTAATAACTAAAATACTTAATTTAGTAAATTTATGTTTTACAAATAAGTGAATATGCAATATATATATTTTTTTTAATCAACATTTTATAGTTTATTTAACTTTATTGAAACAATGACATATTCAAACAATCTTGAATTGCTCGTAGGTACATTGACAAGAAAAATTTGCAAGATCTTGCGCTATTTTAGGAGTGCTAATTTTTGGATTCAGGTTAAATTATAATACAACTATACATCTATCATGTTATTTTTATGGTCTGAAAGTTGTTTGGGTAACCAGGAAATTGCTTATTGTTTGTATGACTTTTCGTTTATGATTTTTTACATCATCCATAGTGCTATGAGCTTTGTTGACAATTGTTGATACTAGAAATAATGATTGGTATGATTATGCAACTGCAAAATCAATTCACTTTCAGTTTTATTTCTTACATTTTTTTAAATTTTTTTTTTTGGACTCATTTTGTAATAATTTTGTTATGTTGGTATTTCAACAATATTTTAAAGCAAACTGAATTGGTATAATATTTATCAATAGAACTTTTTGTTTTTCTTATTAGTTTCCAATAATAGTGACATATTAAGACATTTTGTATATTAATAACTCGAAACCATATTTAAAATAAATGCTACCCCATGAGAATTATACATGTTAAAAATGTTATCCAATCCTAAACCTAAAGTCTGTTAGGCCTTGAATTATACTAAAATGGTACACTGCATACCTGTTAAAATTAGAGTTTGATCATTCTATGAAGTATACATTTTCAATTATTTCAATTTTATTTTTTTTATGTTTCATCTGATAATGTAATCCGAATCCATTTTCTGAGTAAATAATAATAAACCATTAAAAAAACACAATTTTTCCTTATCATGTTTTCAAATTAATTATGTGTGCACTGGATTTGGTATTTTTAAATGGTATAGAATACTTTAATTTCTGAAACTCATCTTTTTCCATACAATTTTTAGATGCTGAGCCGAGTGAGAAATGTATTGATTTTATAATGATATTTATTTTTTTTTTTAATGAAGAATTATCCTAAAAAATTTTGTTCAGTGTTGTATTTTTTCTGAAAACAAATCTGACCTGGGTGGTACTTTAGGGAAGTTTTTTTTTGGTTTTACCAGGGGTTTTCTTTATAAATAGAAAACAAATGGAAAATTTACATAACGTATTATTTTCAAATCGTAAATATTTTACAGCCTTTTAAACATATATAATCGAACTCTGATCAAAATTATTTTTCATTAAGAATGATTAACCTTCGTGTACATAATTGCATTAATTTTCCCCTCTACTTTTTCAAACCCATCCAGTAAGTCCATTTCTCTTTTTTTAGCTACTTAATTAGAAAATTTATTTAGATAAGTAAAAATAAAAAAATTTTTATTTTACCTTTTACTAAAAATTATGAATTCCAAAATTTTAACAAAATAGCTATTACAATATTTATAATATTTGTATAAAGTATACATTATCAATTATTATTATATATTTAATTTTTCATTACATTGAATGTAATTGTTTTATTTCTTTTTTTTTATTATTTCAGCAAAAAATTATGGATTGTTTCTTGTTGACGAAGACATTAAAAAAGGGGTTTGGTTAGAACCCGGACGTAATTTAGAATACTATATTCTTAGAAATGGGGTAAGTCAGTTTATTTTCTAATGTGAATAATATATTATTGGTATTTAGTAAAAATAGAGTTCTGTATTTATTTTCATATACCAAATATAATTTTAATTATTTTTGATAACATGTTAAAAATATTAAATTATAAATATTGAATCTAATTTTTTGATTACTTTAAAGAAGAGGTTCTCAAATTTGTATTTTTATATACACCACTTACATGTATTTTGTATCTATAACGTATAATTTATAACTAAAAATTTAACTATTCATATTGTTCTTACATTTATTTCAAAGTAATAAGAGTATAAGATAGTAAAATACTTCAATATAATTTATATAAAAATAAAAAGTATAAATTATAAACTTATAGTATTATATCCATTTAAAAAAATGTTTTAATATGTACCATAGTTTGAGAATTGCTGCTTTAAAAAATATAACTGAATTCGAAATTAATATATTTGGGTAGAACAGTTTTTAGAATAAAGTTCTTATTAAATAGTCTAAACATATATTTATATTGAACTATTTTATTTTTTATAACTAAAATAATAGTATAATTTAAATTTTTTAAACCAGTAGAATGGTGTCTACATTTCATGGAAGATTAACTCTTTCAAATAGAATCTTTATAAGTTTTAATTATGAATTTTAATAAAATATAATTTTGGATCCTTTAAAATTTATATAGTTTGTATTAAAAGTTTACAATTTGTCTGCAACATATTTTAATTTATTGTTAAGTTACTATTTCTACCTTTAGGATTTGTTGGAATATCGAAAAAAGTTGAGAACATTGAAAGTACATATGCTTGATGGAACTCTGAAAACCCTTCTGGTGGATGACAGTCAACCAGTTGCAAATTTAATGGTTGTTATTTGCACAAAAATTGGTATGAGCATAAATTAATAATCTTATTGTCCAGTACAATATTTTATATTTTATCATATTAAAATATTACAATTATATTTAAATTATTTATCTCACTGTGTTCCTGTTTAATATGATTCTCTAAATTCATATTCATTCCATAGGGATCACAAACCACGATGAATATAGTCTTGTAAGAGAAAATTTAGAGGAAGAAGTTGAAAATAAAGCTAATTTTGGAACATTGACATTAAAAAGAAAAAAAGAAGATAGAGAACGAGAAAAAGATGCCAAAATGGAACAATTGAGAAAAAAATTAAAAACTGACGATGAAGGTAATATTTTTTTATATTTATCAAAATTACTAACATATTTTTTTACAATTAACATTTTAATCTATTATTATAATCAAAATAATTATGTACTATTGTTTTGAATACAATTTAGTTTAAGAGGCTAATTGGCCTTCAAAGTAATTGCAAAAATAAGCATACACACTTATAATAATGTACCACTCATTTTCTTTAATATTTTTACTAAAATTGGTATAGGGTCATATTTTTAACACAAGTTGATTTCTTAAATTCCATATATTTATTTCGTTTTTAAAAAATATTGATTATCTAAATATTTGTCTGAAATTGGCCTAATAATATTTTAACTTTAGTTCTAATATTATTGTTTGAGTATATTATACTCAAATATTTTAATACTTTGTATTGTACAAATCATATGAATTATTGAACTTGAATATTAAATTGGCATTAAACCAATTTAGTAGTATTTTTATTTTATACTGTGTATAATTGCATGCATATGTTTCCATATATATGATACATATTTATTAAATGAAGCCAACTTAGAATTTATTTTCACTAAAAAAAAAAATTTGCATAGACATACTGAGTGATCAATCATAAGACACTGATTATCTCGGAAAGTATTAAAGTATGACTTTTTTTGACCATTTAAGAAAAAAGTAACTCTAAAATGTTACATTACCATTATTTTTGAGACCTTTATATTTGAGAGTGAAATCACTACCTATTTTGATTTTCAAAGGGTAATATTTATTAAAACTCCACAAACAGATAAATTTAATAGATAAATAGTTCAATCAAAATAAATGTTGGCATTGAAATCTTTAATTTCCGTTAATCCACTCAACTACCAAATTAGGGGGTGATTTGTAATTGTATCACTCATTGTATAGATTGTGTAGGTAATTAGAAAATATAATTACGAAATTATGAAAAACAACTGTTTACAACATTTTTAGAAATTGTTCTCCAAGGCAAATTATCTAATTTAATAATATAAATTATTTTATAATTTAAAAATGTTTTTTAAATAAATTAAATATTTTTATTAAACTATTTTACAATAATTGCATGCATGTTTTTAGAACATAGAACTATTTTGAATAGTAACCTTAACTTTTATTATTATTATTTTTTTGTTTTTATTTTTAAGTAATGTTTAGGTATATTAAAAAAATCCAAGTGTTAAAAATTAAAATTGTTTGAAATACAGTGTGAAGTCTCATAATAATTTTTAAACAACAAATAACATTGTATGATTAAAAATTAAAAATTATTGTTTCAGTGAACTGGGTTGATCCCTCTAAAACACTACGGGAACAAGGTATCGATGAGGGGGAACCTGTATTATTAAGAAGGAAATTTTTCTTTTCTGATGGAAATATTGATTCTCACGATCCAGTACAATTAAATTTATTATATGTTCAGGTAATCAATACCGAATTGTTATTTTAATAATGAAATACATCATGATACAGAGTATTATTTTTTTGTAGGCAAGAGATGCAATTTTGGATGGAACTCATCCAGTAACAGAAAAACTTGCTTTACAATTAGCTGGCATCCAAACACATATTCAGTTTGGAAATTACTGTGAAACTAAACACCGCCCTCCATTTTTAGAGTAAAGATATTTTTTTTATTATCTATTCAAATTAAATTAATTAATTATATTACTTTTAACTTTTAGTCTAAAAGAATTTTTACCTCAGTCATACATAAAAATTAAAGGTATTGAGAAAAAAATATTTTCTGAACATAAAAAACATTTTGGATTATCTGAATTAGATGCTAAGGTTCTTTACACAAAAACTGCTCGATCATTACCTACTTATGGAGTAACATTTTTCTTAGTTAAAGTAAGTTATATTAATATTTTCTTATTCTTATTAAGTTTAGTTTTTTTATAGTTAATTTGTTTTTTTTTTTTTAGGAAAAAATGAAAGGAAAAAATAAATTAGTGCCTCGTCTTTTGGGAGTGACAAAAGAGTCAGTTTTACGTTTAGATGAAAGAACCAAAGAGATATTACAAACTTGGCCCCTGACAACAGTAAGACGTTGGGGTGCTTCACCAAACACTTTCACATTAGATTTTGGGGATTATTCAGATCAATATTATTCAGTTCAAACTACTGAAGCTGAACAAATACTTCAATTAATCTCTGGTTATATTGACATTATCTTGAAAAAAGTGAGTATGCTATATGTATATGAATGTGTACATTTATTATATTTATTGATTTTTTTTTCAGAAAAAGTCAAAAGATCATTTTGGTATTGAAGGAGATGAAGGTTCAACCATGATTGAAGACAGTGTTTCCCCATTAAAGTTAGTTTATACATATTTAAATTATTGTTACATTAGTTTCGGAAAATAATTATTTAATTATCAAAATAATTTAGGTAGTTTTTGAATTTTAGTCTTTATAGTATGCAAACAATTACACAATTAATATGAATGCAATTACCGCTCATGATATACTTGTTATTAATCTAATAATTATTATGTAGTATGTATATCTAATGAGTTATAACAAATATTTTTGTACTATAGGGCAACCATTTTGCAACATGAGAGTAGTCAATTTGGAAAAGTGAATACTGAATCAGTAGCAAAACCAGCAGTTATGAGAGCAGGAGCTGATGGTATGTTTACATTAAATAATATATTTAAAAACGAACAAAAATACCATAAACTGCACAAGAAATAATTAATTTTAACATATTTTAATAACTCAAACATATTTTGTAGAGGCTAATAAAAATAGTTTATATTATAAGCTTTTATTGTGCTTTTATTGAAAATTAAACTAGGTAGTTTCATAAATTTGCAAATAAAAATAGAACATCAATAATATATGAAAAATAATATTATTACAAAAACTCACATTTTTTTTGCTTCTACTAACACATAATATTTAAAATTTGTTCACTAATGACATATTTTATCTTTTATCAATTAATATTAAATAAAGATCTTAGTTTATTTATTGATTGGTTTTAATTCAAATAAATTCTTTTTTTTTTTTTGCTCATTTACTATCATTAAAATTTAACTATAAAAAAATCTTGCTTAATAATTAAGTAACATAATTTGTAATTACAAAATACCAATATTTCTATTGGTTATGTATAGTGTATACTTTCTGTATTTGCTGTATGTAAAATAATTCAAATTAGTTTATAAAACTAAAACTATAAAATTACAATTAACTGTACAAAGTAAGTAAAAATTGGCTATGATAGGAATTATTACGAGAAAGTGTTAAGGTTTTTTAAAAATCCTTTATTTTCTTTTTGTTAATAAATTCATAGTTAAAATTATTACAATTCTTAAAATGGAATCAGTGTGGTTGGGTTCATGTTTTATATGCAATGAACTCTTATTGTAGAACCTTCATCCTGTTTTTTTCTCTTTAATGGAAATAAAAATTAAATTAATTTACAAACCCACTTCCCCCTCCCTTATACATTCATATTGATGTCTGATAAATATGCAATATACATGTATGCATATTTTTATTTAGATGTTTTTTTTTTCTAAAATAAGGTATATTGTAGAAAGTTTAAATGTTATTTAAGATAACATTCATAATACAATTAACTCTATTGTAAGTGGTATACTAAAATGTTTCCATTTACCACTCTAATTGTCTTATTAAAAAATTTAAACTAATATTTTATTTTATACTTAACTTATTTACATGAATGATTATTATTCTATAATTTTTTATATAGTAGGTATAGCTTTTTTAGAATTTTCATTTTTAATTATTGTTAAAGTATGCATATATATGGAGAGTGTAAAAGGTAATCCTTAAATATTTAAATAAATATACATTTTTCTCAATGATATTTTATTTTTATGGATCAATCAATACTTGCATATTATTATTTTATAATTTTTAAATATATTTCCAAAAAAAATCCATATAATACAAATAATAATATTAAATAATAAATAAAATAGCAACAATAAATATTGGTACATCATATAACTTTATTAAATGCACTCATAACAGCTCCAAATCATTACAGAACTCCCATTTATCTATGATTGTAAATTCTTTGGAACTAACTGTTTAATTGTGTCCACACAAAACATCAAAAATATTATTTACTTGTGTTTGAGAGCTATGTAAGTTATTTATTGTAAATTTCTTTTGTTTATTTTTTTTTAATCATTTAATATTTTGGATTAGTATCTTACCATAGTAATTTCTGTTCTCAATTTATAATTGTACTTACCCTAACAAGAAAAATTTGAAAAATTTTAGGAGCTCTAATATTTGAATTCAAGTTGGTTTTTCATACTACCTACTTATTTTCGTAAATTTTCTATTAAATGATCTATCATGTCATTTGTAGTGCTATGAGTTCTGCAATAATGTTTGATATTTGGTATAATATAATTTACATTGATTGTGTGAATCAATTTATGTTCAGTTTTATTTCTTTCAACCCTTTTTTGGACCCATCTTGTAATAATATTGTAATAATGTTAGTATTCCAACAATATTTTGAAGCAAACTAAATTGGGATAATATCTATTAATAGGACTTTTTTTTATTTATTTCATTGGTTTTTAATAATATTATAAGTAAATATGCTTTTCTGTAACTAAAATAGATGAGAATATTTATTGTTATTGTTTTGATTATTATTGAATATAACTATAACTATAATAAATTGTTATGTTTATTTTTTTTATTTGTAATATATTATTTAAAAATCGTAAGAAAATAATTTGCAGGTGTTAAATTTCCAAGGTAAATAAAATTGTGGAGAATCATTTATTTAAAAATTTAGTGTTGGAATTCTTTTTACATTCACTATATACAGGGTGTCCTACAGTGTTATATGAACATTATAAAACTATCATTACTTATTTATTTTTTTTTATTTTTTTTTTAAAATCGGGTTTGGGTCAGTGGGACACATTGTAGAGAAAAACATTTTTTTCTTTTCATCACTCAATCACTTAAAAAACACTTTATATTTTACTTTTTAAAATTTTCAAAATAGCCATTTTGTATAAAATATTAGTCTATACATTGTAATGTATCATACAGTCATATTCAATCAATAGTTTATGAGTAATAGCCATTTAATTTCTAGAAAAATGGGTGTGAAAACAATTAAACATTTCAAATAGAATAACAATAAGGAAACATAATCAGCACAATTGAAAAAAAAGTTATATAAACCTTCATATATTACTGTAAGACATCCTATATATTATTTATGTTAACAAAAAGAAGGGGAGTTGGCAATTAATTTTTGAGTTTATATATATATATATGAATATTAATGTCATTGTAAGTTTAAAACAAAAAATATAGAAATTGTACAACAGGAGAAATGAGTTATTTTTTAAAAGATTTTTATAATATTTTGTTTTATGTATTTGTACTCTGAAGGTTAGGTTACATACAATACATTGTTCTAAATTTTGGCATTTTATGAGAGAGTGTGTGTCAATCTTGTTTTCATTAAACACATTTTAGAAAAGTAAAACATGTTTTATCCAGGAATATAGAATACTTCATGGCATCGGTTTAAAAAATACACCGTGGTGCAGGCAAACTGGATATTTAAAGGTAATATTGATTGATTCTCAATCAATGAATGTATATTTTTACCATTTCCTCTTTGTATTTCAATTACCCTCTTCAGTTGTACATTTATCATTATTATTATTTTTATTATTATTGTTATAGTCTTGTAGGTTTATTTGAATCTATTTCCATTAAACATGTTGATTGTAATTATTCATTGCATATATATATTATATGTATATGTTTTTATTTTGTAGTTTTGTAATTATTATAATTTATCCTATAGACATTATTAATTTTATAAACTATATTATTTATTTATTTTTAATATAGAATGTGATTTATTAAGGGGTACAGTATGTCTCTGAAATGTCCTAACTATAGAATATTATTTTAATTTTTGATTATACTAACTTGAATAATAAGAAATATTACCTATTTTTTGTTCAAACTATATAGAATAATAATGAAATAATGTAGGTTAGTACTTTGGAGACATAATGTATCACAAATGCAGTTTTCACTGAAGTCCATTTTCAATTTTACCCTGAAATGTCATAATTAATTTAACATATGCATGTAACTTAATAATATTATATGTAACTGCTTCATTAGAAATTGTATATATCAAACATATTAAACATTCATAAATAGTTTATTTATAAATCATATATATCTGTATATATGTTATTATTTATAGCACAGCTAGAATAATATTGATCAAAGTGATCCATATATTTTGATTTTACCTATCTTTCTAATTAACTGGATCCGGTTTTTTTTTTTTTAATATTCATTTACTATATAAATTATTTTTAAATTAACTGATACATTTTCATTGGCGCCAAGAATCTAAAAATTCTTAACCTAAGCTAACTTAAATAATTAAATTAATATACTTAGAATGCAATAACTTTTGTTCTATTCAATATTATTGTATGTATATATTTTGAATAATTAGTATGCTCCAGCACTACAGATTTTATATGAACATTTTTTTTTTGTTTTTTAGTGGGAGGGAGATTTAAAATAAAAAATTCAAAATGTCATGTATTTTTTTTTTGAATAAAAATTCAAAAAAGCCACTTTGTAATATTTTTCAATAGGATTTTCTATGATTTTTTTTGAAGTTTTTTGCAAATGTGAGTATTAAAATATTTAATCAGTTATTAGTCAGGCCACATGATAAGGATTTTCTTTTCCATGAGTAATACCATGCAATAATATTATCATATTATAGGTATAAGGTAGTATCAATCAATCAGTAATGGAAATTTATGTTGATAAACAATATTGTTATTATTGAAAAGAAAATTATTTCAACTTTCCAAACAATTTTAGAAAATAAATAACCATATTTTAACGAAATTTTGAACTATTAAAATTTTTCCAAAAATATATTTACAAAATGGCTATTTTGAAATTTTTTTTAAAAAAAAATTATATTTAAATTTTTAATTTTAAGTCCTCTTACTCCTAAATAAAAAATGTTTATGTATACTGTAGCATAGAGGTACACTAATTATTAAAAAAAAATATATATTGATATATATATATATATATATCAAAAACATTGAATAATAGTTATTGCATTTTTCGAATCTTTGTGGGACATCCTGTGTATACTGATATTCTACAGTGTTATTTGTTTGCTATAACTCTGTTTATATTAATTTTTTTCAATTAGGTTTTGTATAAGAAAGACACAATTGTAGAAAAAAATGAAATTTGTATTTTCATCCAATAATCACAAAAAAAATATAACTTTATTTTTCACTTTTTAAAATTTTCAAAATAGCCAATTTGAAAAATATATTCTAAAAATTTAAATGTATCATATATTCATATCTGATTAATAGTTTCTTAGTAAAAGCAGTTATAATTTCAACATTTCTTATCTTGTATTATGACCATGATTTGCTACCATGTAATCATAGTTATCAGTTTAGTTTTTTGAGTAATAAAATTACTTTATTAAGAAACTAGTGATTATGAATACAATTCGCTCCACTGAAAGAATAATGACACAAATCAAAATATGGGAAATCAACTTTTAAAAATTCTTCATAATGTACTATAATTTTTCTCATGTGAAACTGTTACTTTTTAAATATGATAAGATAGTCATCTGACTAGAAAAATATTGTGTAACATTATTAGTCAAGTCAGAATAAAGTCACATCTCAGAAGTGTCAATATTTAGGCTGGAAACTATAATTCAATTTAAGAAGACATAAATACATTCAAATTAATACTATCTTTAATATTAAATAAATTAAAGATTACTTAATTATAAAGGATAACATCTTGCATATTTTGATAGTAATAAATTGGAAAGTATTTTTTGAGTTGTGTGATTATTCTTTCAGGGGTATGGTATGGTATATTCAAAATTTTAGAATAATATATTTTACAAATTGGCTAGTTTGAACATTTTGAAAGTGAAAGAGCAAAGTTATTTTTTTCAATGATTTAGGAATGAAAATAAAAGTTGCATTTTTTTCTAAATTTGTGCCTTTACACAAAATGATTTTATAAATTATTATATTTTAAGTACAATTCATTTATAATTTCAGTTCTAATAAGAATAAATTTAACAGTAAATTATCTTATAAAATATATCATTATTTAAAAATATGTTTTGTTCTTCAATTTTATTAAATTATTATTGAACCTAAAAATTAAAACTAATTCATTCAATGGGAATTAAAAACCTTTGCATTTTCATTTTCAAGATATTAAGACTAAAACTGTTTGTTTCTCTGATTTAATAACTAACTGATTGTACAAGGGGATAATAATTACACTAATAGAAAATGTGGGCAAATTAATTTTTTTTTCATAATTTAGATTTCTAAACTACATTATTGTTGATTATATTGATATATATCAAGAATGATCAATATAAAATAAGATATTCATTATCTCAGAAAATATGAACTTTTTCAGAATTTGTTTTTTAAAAAAAATCAAGAAATTAGTAGCTCTAAAATGTTACATTACTCTTTTGTAAGCCTTATTTTAGAGGGTTAAACCACTACTTACTTTTGATTTTAATATGACAATGTGTATTAAAAATTACATAAATAGATGGAATTTTAGTTCAAATTAATTTTGGTGTTAAAATTTTGAATTTTGATCAATCTATCGGGGTGAAACAAATTTTATGTTGGGGTGGAGAAGGTTGAGTAATGGTGCATTGTTTAATATTTTTCCACCCTCCTTCCTCCAGGAGTCTAAACTTAGAAGTGGAATATCTGAAATTTCAACACTAAAATTTATATTAACTATTAGTCCATCTATTTATGGACATTTTTGTGTAGGTTGTTATTTGAAAATCAAAATTCGGTAGTAATTTCGCTTCTTGGAATTAGGGTAACAATATGTTTTCTGAAATTATGAAAGTCTTATAGAATGTTGATCATCTGTGTTATCCAAGTAGTAAATTGTATTGTTAGTAGTTGTTGCTACTATAAATGTATTTGCTGCTGTACACTTTCTAAACTTTCTATGAAGTCTGAATTTTGGATGGTAGTTAATAAAACATATTGCATATAGGTGCTCGGCCGTATGGACTTGGACATGTAGGAAATGCTCAGTACACAACATTAAGCGGACAAATAAATATAGCTCATACACCAACACTGGTTTGTTTAGTTGATTAATTTAATGCAAGAAAAACATTAAAAATTATCTAAAACAGTACTATGTTTCTACTTTACAGACACCGCAAAATAAACAAATCAAGATATTGAGTGCTCCACAAAAAGCATTATGTATGACAATATCAAATAGTCAAGAAATTATAACCACTATAGAAAAAGAATTGATTACAAAAGCAGTTGTTCCTGAATTTGGTACTGGTCCTGTAAGTAAAAATTGTTCTATGAAATGTTTGAATAAATTAAAATTGTTCATATTCAAATCATAGGCCTCAATTAAACTAAAAGAAACTACAATTGATTCAAATAAACAAAATGTCAGTGATCAGATTGCAGCTATGAATGCTGCTACAGCTCAAGTGGTCACATTAACTTCTGGTGGATATTATTATTTGTTCACTTATCACTTATTAATTGTGCTATAGTGTTTTATAATATTGATATTTTTTTCTTATTCCAGGAGATATTGATTATTCTAGTGTTGAACAAGCTATCACTTCTATTACTACAAATTTACCAGAAATGAGTCAGGGTGTTCGTGTATTGGCTGCATTGACACCTTCTGGTGATCATTTGTTGGATGCAGCTCGTAAGTTGTGTTTTGCTTTCACTGATCTTTTGAAAGCTGTGCAACCAGATTCAAACACCGTATGTGAAATATATTTTACATGTCTAGGATATTTATTTGTAAATATAATGTTTATTAAATTCATTTCAGGGACGACAAAACTTGTTGAATGCTGCTAGTAAAGTAGGTGAAGCTTCTCAACAAGTCTTAACACAAATTGGAGATGATAGTGCTGATGAGTCTCGTGAAATCTTACTGAACTTGGCTAAAGCTGTGACCAATACAACAGCTGCTCTTGTCGTAAAAGCTGAGAATGTTGCAGCAACTGTTGAACTTCAACATCAGTCCAATGTCCGAAGTGCTGCAACCACATGTGCACTTACAACTTCACAGCTTGTAGCATGTACAAAAGTATGTATTATAACAATATACTTTACTGGTAAAAAAAGCTTTTTTTAAATAACTTTATCCAGATATACTCGACATCTAACTATCATCACTACCTAGTTACATAAAACACTTTGTCATTAACCTAAATTACCTAAGTTCGGATAACACCCCAATCCTTTTAACTATGTTTATTTCATTAGAGTCAAATCCACTGCATCCATCATTATCTCAAGGCCCAATCAAATGGGACAAATTTTCTGAAATTATACAAAATACAACCTTCTTTAATGTCTCTCACCAAACCAAATAGATGGTTCTTTTTGGAAAACAACTAAAAATCTACTTAAAATAAAAGAATAACTTCCTTCCTTAATTAACCCTGAGTGCTCATTGGCCATCTCCGATATTAAAAAAGCCAATCTATTCAGTAAACACTTATCGAAAATATTCACGCCACATGTTGACATATTATCAAACTCTGAACACTTGGAAACTGTCAAACAATTTATCAACAGCAGTCTTTCTATATTATTACATGATAAACATATCTCGCCAAATAAAGTTTTATTTTTAATTAAAAAATTAAAAGATGGTAAATCACCAGGTTACGATCTAATTGCCAATAAAGTTCTCAAAAATCTTCCACACTAACCCATTTTACTAATTACTTTTATTTTCAACTCTATGCTAAGACTCATATTTCCCACTAATATGGAAACTGTCAACTGTAATACTTATACCAAAACCAAATAAACCAAGGACTTTAGCCACCTCTTATAGACCAATAAGTTTACTTCCAACTCTAGCTAAACTATTCATAAAAATAATACTCAAAAGAATTAGACCTATAATGCAAACTAACAAAATTATCCCAAACTCTCAATTCGGTTTTAGAGCAAAACATTTCACAGTACACCAAATTCATAGATTGACAGACGAAATATTATCTTCCTTTGAAATGAAATCATTTTGTCCAGGTGTTTTCCTGAATTTAGTGGAGGCATTCAATTGAGTGTGGCATGAAGGCCTACTGTACACACTCAAACTTGTTTACCTGCACCATATTATCTAATTATTCGCTCATATCTTGAAAACCGCTCCTATTTATTTATGGAAGCCCATACTGAAGCTGGTGTAACTCATGGTAGTGACCTCTCTCCTTACTTATTTAATATTTATATGGTTAATATACCTGTTAAAGCAAGCACCACAATGGCCACTTACACAGATGACACGGCAATACCTTTGTGCTAGTAATGACCATGACAAAACATCCAACCTTTTACAAATCCACTTAGAATCCATTGCCAACTGGGCAACTAAGTGGCAAATAAAAATAAATCCAGATAAATCTGTTTATGTACCATTTACTTTAAAAAGAATTGACCCGCCACCTGTTCGCTTTAGGGTATTCTAATTTCATCATCTTTTATTATCAAATATCTCGGCATTACGCTTGATAAAAGACTAACTTAAGGCCCATACTTTAAACTAAAAAAAAAAATTCTGAACAGCCAACTATATCTACATATTAAAACCAAAACTCCCAACTCACACCAAACTTATTATGTACAAAACACTTTTTTGACCAATATGGGCATATGCAATCTAAATTTGTGGCTGCGCTAAACCATCCCAAATTTGTACCATACAAGCTTTCTAATTGATTACTCTCCATATGCTAACCTCTTCACCTTGGTTTGTATCTAACTCCGCACTACACTCAGACCTAAAAATCGAAATAGTTGTTCAATTAGCCACAAAACATTACAGATCTATTTATTCTAAACTTCATTTCTATACTAACCCAATAATAATGCAAATCTCATCCAATACTGGATCCATAAATTCCACCCATCGATTCAAAAGAAAATACTGCAGAGACTTATTAACCTAAAGTAACATATCACGTTGGATTTCAGCACTAATTGGCCTCTCTCATATCATTCACAGTTAAAATGTATATAAATTATTATGTTTAAAATTATCATATTTGCTTATTTTGATATTATAACACGTATTGTTGTAATTATTCTTTTTCAATAAAAAAAAAATTCAAAATTATTTATTTTCAAAAACAGAAAATAAACTCATTTAAGTTTTTTTTATATTTATGTATATAATTTGTAATCTGCAATATTTGTTCTACTCGAAAAAAAAATGTATTTACCCTATTAATCAAGTTCAATATTATATGAATATGCAATTTAAAAAAGTATATTTTAATAATATTGCTTATAAAATGAAGTATTGTTTAAAGATTTGTTTTCCAAGAGCTAAAATGTCAATTTTATTTAGTTGTGGAATATTATTTTATGTAATTTTATCTATTTTCATAAAGGTTTTCAATATAAAAACAAGTTTGTATTTTTAATACTTTATTACTTTGTAAATATCCAACCTTTAGTGATGATATAACATTATAATAGCAGTAGTCTAAGATTGAAAACTGCTGTTCCTTTATCTATAACTTTTTCCCTCTATTATTATTTATGTTTTGGTTTTTTTGTTAAGGTTGTAGCTGGTACTGTGGAAAATCCAAGTTGTAAAGAACAATTAATGGTTGCTGCAAGAGAAGTGGTCAATGCCGTAGAAGACCTTGTTTCTATATGCAATTTAACACAACATGAAAACAATGCACATTTATTACAAGAACTATCAGATGCAGCCTATCAAGTTACCACTACATTGAACCAATTACTAAACAGGCTTACTAGTGCTTCTAGGTAAATAATTTTCATTATCACATAGATTTATCCTTTAATTTGTTGAATAATTTGATGTTTAGAGCTGTTGGTGAGAGTTTAAGTAATTTAGTTGATGTGTGTACTTCACCAGTTTCAAAAGAAAAGAGGTTTAATACTGAGAAAACTTTCCATGTTCAAGAATACTCAAAGTCTTTCAATGACACTGGTTTTGTTGATCAGACTAATTCTACAAGAAATTTAAATAGTTTAGGTATAAACAAATATTTTTGTTGGATAAATTGTAAAGTGTGATCATATTGTAAATACAAAGTTGTATTATTATTATTTTTTATACAATTTCTACAGATGAAAATATAATTGATATATCGACATTGACTAAGCGATATGACTATAACCATGATACTCACATAAATAATGAAAATTATGGATATCATAAGTCAACACATGATTATCAGTTACAAAGTACTACTAATGAAATTGAAAAGCAGCAAGTATGTAATATGTGATGGTTTTAAAATTATATTATTATTGTTATTATATTTATCTGTAAATCTAGATATTGCAAAAATTGTCATCTGGTGGAACTCGTGGTAATCAAGCATGTATAAATGCAGCTAGTACAGTGTCAGGGATCATTGGTGATTTAGATACTACAATATTATTTGCAACAGCTGGTACTTTACACGCTGAAAATGAAAATGAAACGTTTTCTGATCACCGAGAGAATATTTTGAAAACTGCTAAAGCATTAGTGGAGGATACTAAAACTCTTGTCACTGGTGAGTATTAATTTAGATGGCAGCTATAGAATTATTTAAATTGCTGATTATAATTAAAACTACTTCTCCTTGGCCTATATTCCAACTATTTGAGGTCTGTCACTCTTGTTCTAAACTTCCACTTGATCTGATCTCCCATACACTTGCTGACCTCACATCATCAACCATCTCTTTTCAGTCTTACTCTCCACCTCTTATTTTCATTAAAATTCTTACTGCTTCAGATTCATCTCTTTCTGTGTCATGCTAAAACCATTTCAGTTCATTTTCTTTTATTTTGTCTACTACCAAAGCCAAGTCTAAGCTAACTCTTACATACGCATCCCATATCCTATTTCTACTGTTCCACTGATTTTCTATCTTCCACTGATTCACCTAAGCGTTTTCATCTCTATTACACTCATTCTGTTTTGTTTTTATGTTTGAATAGGAACACTTTGAATAATCAATACAACATAGTTAGCCTCATCATACTTTTGTAGAGGTTAACTTTAAGTCTAACTGACATTATCTTGTCACAAAAAATACCTGAAGCTTCTCTCCACTTTATATAACCAGTTGTCCCCATACATATCCTAGATGAGAAATTTGGACAGTCTTTTTAGAATTTCTCATACTATTTGACAGAATTTCAGAACTGCTGGGCTTTCCACCAATTGGAACTTAGGGCTCTGGGCTTACTAAATTTGATTTACAATGATACTTGAATGGTACACTCTATGCTTCTGATTTACTAGAAAAATTTCTCTTTCTGCATTCTCTAACATTCCACTCAAAATCACTCCCTTTTCTCCATTCTGGCACACTATCAACCTCTCCATAGACTCATACTTAGCCTGACCTCTTCTTTTCTCTTTTTTTTAATTGTTTGTACTAATCATTGTTCTCTTACCACTGCCATCAGGATGTTTACATATTTAAATAAATAAATAAATTATTAAAGGTGTAAATATTATAAAGAAAATATATAATGCATATGTAATTATTTTATCATAATATGACATATATTGGTTACACAAATAGAAAACCGCCGGTTTTCCATAGGTTGCTCCAGCATTGTAAATTGGTAGATAAGTGTGATAAGAAAGGATAGCCAGTTGAGGCATCAGTCAACAACTCTACAAAATCTCGCTTGTCTATTTTTACTGTGCTTTGTTTTGTTCATTCACCACAATGGCGCGTCAAATTATTGTAGAAACTTATGGTGGACATTGTATTAGTGAAAGAACGTGTCGGAAATGGTTTCATAAGTTTAAAAATGGCGAATATGACGTGGAAGACAAGGACTCGTGAAAAAGTTCGAGGATGTAAAATTGGAGAATTTGCTGGATGAAGATTCTTGTAGAATGCAACAGGAACATGCAAATTTATTGGGTGTGACTCTGCAAGCAGTTTTTCATCGCTTAAAATGTTTAGGAGTGATCCAAAAACTGGCGAGTTTGAAATGAGTTGAAGTCGAGGGACATCGAATGGTGCCTTTTCACATGCAAACAACTCCTCCAACGGCAAAACAAAAAGGGTTTTTTACATCATATTGTGACTGGCGATAAAAAGTGGATACACTATGACAACCCGAAGTGGAAAAAATAGTGGGGGCTTCTCGGCCATTCATCAACTTAAAACTTCAAAGTGTACTATGAGTGTACTCTTGCAACCAGGCGAAACCATTACGGGAGCCCTCAATCGGTCGCAACTAATACGTTTGAGTCTAGCGTTAAAAAAAACGCCCGCAATACTCGGAAAGACACTATAAGATAATACTTATGCATGACAACGCTCGGCCGCATTTTTCCAAGGTCGTGATAACATACCTAGAAACTTTGAAATGGCACATACTACCCCACCTGCTGTACTCCCCTGACATCGTCCCTTCTGATTTCTACCTATTCTGAGTGATGACGCATGACCTGGCCAAACAGTACTTTCGTTCTTACGACGAAGCCAAAAATTGGATTGATTCATGGATCCTGTCAAAAGACAAAACATTTTTTCAATGAGGAACTGAGAAGCTGCCACAAAAATGGGAAAAAGTTGTGGCTAGCGATGGAAAGTATTTTGAAGAATGAGTATGTAACCAGTTTTTTATAATAAAACCTTAAAGTATGAGAAAAACGGCTATTTTCTATTTGTATGCTCAATATATTGTTGACAAAGTAACACTATCAATCAAACTTCACTCAAAATCATTTTTTCATAAGCAATGGTTTATCGTTGCTTATATATATGCATTAAATTTCCCCTCTACTACCTTCCTAACTTATCACCTAAAATAGTGGATGCACCTATCCCCATTATCCTAGGATAGATTTTTAAATTATTATTCAACGACTAATGAGTAATTAGAACTTATAAAAATGTGTTTAGGTGCTGCTTCATCTCAAGAACAGTTAGCTGTAGCAGCTCAAAATGCTGTATCAACTATCATACAATTAGCAGATGTAGTGAAGTTTGGCGCAGCTTCCTTGGGTGCTAACAATCCAGAAGCCCAGGTGAAAATATAATATTATGTTACAATTAATGTTTATAATTAGCCATTATTAATAATAATTAATGAGTTTGTTTTACTTATAAATTTATTTTATTAAGTAGACATTTTTATAAAATGGTTTTCTACAGTTTTAGACAAAATAATTATATTTCAATTTCCTTAATTTATTAAAAACTCACATTCTTAATTGATTGAAAGCCAATTATAATAAACAATTTTAACTTATAGTACTATACTTTTACTTTATAGAAAAAAAAAAATATTCAATTATTGAACAAATGTATTAAAAATCTGACAAAAGTGATTGACAAATTTGAATTTTGAATACACATTTAACATTTGATTTAGTATTCGAAATAATTATGAAGTCAAACATAATATTATGTATTTCAGTAGGGAAATAATAAGAAATTTTAATATCTATTGGTATTTGAATATTGAAAATAGACTCAAGTCTTAATGAGTTCTAGAAGATAGGCAAATTAAAATCCATTATCTAAATTTGAATATGTCAAACATGATTGCTAAGTTGTGGAGTACCCCTACTTTAAGTCATTACCTTCAAACCAGTATTTCTGCCAGTATTAATTTTACTGAGTTCCATTTTATACATCCTTTAAAAACCAGGTGAAATCAGAAAATCTGATATTGATTATTGTATTGTTATTAAGAATATTATTAATGTATGTAAAATATCAAGTTGGTCAGAAGTTGGGTCAAAAATTGGAAACAAGTTTTGAACTTTTTTTTTATGAAATTTAATGTTCAAATCAATCTTTTATTGAGTTATGGTTGTTTAAATGTTTAATATTAGTTGTAAGAGACAAATTATATATATATATATATAAAAATAAATTTAGGTAGGAAAAGAGGATTATCCTTCACTCAAAGTAGGTATTAAAAATATCACTAGAAGATACCATGAGGTGTAAAAAGAAATAATTTAACCATTAAATTAATGAATAATTCATAAGTATTAAAAAATAATTTCAAACATTTAATATCCATAAATCTGCTGTTTTTAATATTGGAAGTTAGTTTGACCATTGATATTAATAAAAAAATAAGAATAAAAATAACTACCCAAAAAAGGGAAGATAGGTTGCCATTTAAAAAAAACATTGCCATACACATGTGCGAAATTAAATGGCATAAAAATAGTTTAATTAGTTTAAAAATTATATAACAAAGTTTGTTAGGCAAAAAACAGAATTCAGATAATTCTTAATAAGTACAGTTATAGTGTTTCCAACCAACAATTATAAATACAGGAAAAATAATCAGAAATGTTACTTTAGATTGAGTATAGATGATTATTATGTTTCCATGTGATGGTATTACATATTTCAAACATAATTTAATTCTGTTTACTTTATTTCAAAGTTTAGAATTAACTTTATCCAAATTTTTACTTTGGAAAAAACACTTTTAAATTAAAAATGTCTTTCTCAGATTGAAAAAATTACTTTTCTTTTTTCTCTCTATATACTAGATATATATAAATAAAATACAAACTAAATTAAGAACAGGAAAAATATACTTGGTCTGGAGTGGTGCATGTACGATTTTAATTTAAAGCATCATTAGGTAGTACAATAAAGGTAAAAATACCTACAATTTTAGATTCCGTAGTGAGGAAGCTATTGGTTTTACAGTGCTGTTTATTTTTTTTTATTTTTAATCTAGTCTGTGGACACATTATTTCTTAATAAGCTGCTACGATTTTTAAGTGCAGTACCCTTTCTAAAATCCTAAGTCCTCTAGATGATACTTTAAAAAGGTCATTTTTTGATTTTTGACATCGTTTTTTTTAAAAAAAAGCACTTAAATGGGAAAAACGTAGGAAAACATACAATTTTGCAACTTCATTATTTTATAAAAACATTGAATTTTCTACCAGAAAAAATTATTTAATCAAAAAATCACTAAGTACCTTTTTTGTTTCCTTTTTAATTTACTTTCTTATAGTATCATTGCCAAAATTTTTAAGCCACTTTTGAGCTATTAAGGAATTTCTATTTTTGGGATTTTTTTTGCTGTTATTTGGTTATAAAAACATGTAAAAACTTGAAACTTGGTAATAATACTTATATTAGACTTACCGAGCCATGGTCAAATTTTGAAAATCATTGGACAAATTTTTTTTTTAATTAGAGTTTTGAAATCAAGTTTAAACGAAAATCGCAAAAAAAATTACTTATTACCGAACTGCACTTGGAATTGTCTTTCGTCAAGCAATGATGTATCGTTATTTACAGATATAAATGAAATAACCTTTTATACCCTATCTTCCCAACTTCTCACCTATAACAGTGACCGCACCTGTTTCCAGTATCAGCTCTTTTCTATGCTTTGTTTTATTATTGACTAATCTCTAAAACAATTAATGTTTTTTTCTTTTTAATCCTTATCCTTAACATTACAGGTAATGTTGATAAATGCTATAAAAGATGTGGCTACTGCCTTGGGCGACTTAATTCAAGCTACGAAAGCTGCCTCTGGAAAAAATATTAATGACCCATCAATGAACAAATTAAAAGAAAGTGCAAAGGTAAATTTTTAAAAGAAACAAATTAATATTTAATATATATTACAAAATGTGGATAAACTAAATATTACTTTCTTTTTTTATTAATTTATAGGTTATGGTTACTAATGTGACTTCACTTTTGAAAACTGTTAAAGCAGTTGAAGATGAGCACACTCGTGGAACAAGAGCTCTTGAATCAACTATTGAAGTTATTGGCCAAGAAATTCGGGTATTAATAATAAATTATAAAATTTTACAAAAAAATAATTCTTGCTTATTTACAAAGAGTTTTATCTTTGCATTCTAAATACAATTTCACAATGTTGGGGGGATCTTAAAAAGATCAAGTTTTAAATATCAATATTAAAACAATGATAAATAGTAAAAATAAATATATATATATTATATAATAATAATATAATATAATATTAATAATATTTATATTATTATTATTATTACTAGAATGGTTCGATACATACAAATTATATAGTTTAGACTAATAATATTGGTTATGATGATATTCTATTCAATATTTATATTTAACTGTAAACTGTATTTTAGGCATTAAACTCCACTGAAACTTTCAAATCGACAGCGACTGTAGAAGAATTAATACGCTGTACAAAGCCCATAACAATGGCCACAGCAAAAGCTGTTTCTGCTGGTAACAGTGGTAAACAAGAAGATGTTATAGTGGCTGCGAACATAGGGCGTAAAGCTATATCTGATTTATTAACTGTGTGCAGGGTAATTGTTTTAGCTTTACCATTCCTATCATCAATTTTGGATTCCACACACATCAAATAATTTTCATGAGTATATTTATTTATTTTTTTTTATTTAGGGATGCAGTAATACTATTGAAAATCCTGAGTTGAAAACAAGAACATTACAGGCTGGTCATGATATTGCTCAAGAATACAGAAAGTTGTTACAAACTGTATTTTTGGTAATATCTAAACCAAATTCCAGTTCAGATTCCAAGCACATGCTACAAACTATTCCGCGTTTGATCGCTCAATATGTTACAGAATTAATATCAGTAACTGAAATTATCAAAGGTAGTTTTGTTTAATCCAATTTTTCATACATAGTAAATGTTATATGTAATTATATTAAAAATTTAATTTAGGAAACGATTGGGTGAGCCCAGAAGATCCTACTATAATTGCGGAAAATGAGTTATTGGGCGCAGCAGAATCTATTGATGCTGCCGCAAAAAAATTAGCTGGTTTACGTCCCAGAAGATCTGTTGTTGAGGTAAAATATTTGTCTTCCATGCAGTTTTTTGCATCTCCACTTGTAATTTCATCACTTTCAATTAAACTGACTGATCATTGTTGTTCTCTTAATGACTGTGTCAATAAATCTTTACTTTATCATAACTAAAATTTTGTTTCAAAGTAATATAATGTACAGTTTTTCATTATGGACAAACATAATAAATAATAAATGAGCCCAGATCATTTAAATAAGGTTTAATTTTATTAGGTTTGTTCATATTTTACAATAGATTTTGCTATTATTGTATTTTAGTGTTAAAAAATATATATTGAAAACCACTCATATTAATTCAAATGTATTAATTTTATTCTAACATATTAGCTAATAACTAGAATAAAACACTTTTATAATAATTTTATTATAATGTATTTAGGAAGATGCTCATGCATCATGGAATTTTGATGAAGTCATTTTGGAAGCTGCCAAATCAATTGCTGCTGCCACATCAGCTTTAGTAAAAGCAGCATCAGCTGCACAACGGGAGCTTATTGATTCTGGAAAAGTAAGTAACCCAAATAGGTTTATGTGTTAGTGGTTTTATTAAATGTAGAAAAACAATGTGTATACATAGTGAAATGTAAAAGGACAATGGTGTAATTAAAATGTGTGTACATGGTAGATAATATTACATTTTGAAAATGCAGGTAAGTGGCAGACCCTTGACCAATTCAGATGATGGGCAATGGTCCGAAGGACTAATATCAGCTTCCCGGCTTGTAGCTGCTGCTACTCATAGCTTAGTGGAATCAGCGAATGCTTTAATCCAAGGGATATCTAGTGAAGAAAAGCTAATATCAGCGGCAAAACAAGTAGCATCTTCCACTGCTCAGTTACTGGTATCCTGTAAGGTTAAAGCTGATCCTGACAGTGCTTCTACAAAAATATTATCGGTAAGTAATAAATTTTACTTCATGATACATATTTTACTTTGGCCTGATGCTTTTTGGATTACATTTATTTGTTGTTATTTCCGCTCAGGCTGCTGGCAATGCTGTGAAACGTGCAACAGATAATCTGGTAAAAGGGGCTCAACAGGCCATACAGAATGATGAAGAGCGAAGTTTAGTCCTCAGCAAAAGAATGGTGGGCGGAATTGCCCAAGAAATAAATGCAAGGTAGTCAATTATTTGTACTAATTTAAATCATTTCTATACATACCATTTTATATAAATGGATATCATAATTTAAATTAAAAATAGTTTTATAATTTCAATAATTTTTTGTTATTATTATTCTTATTGGTCCAGTTTAATAGTGTAACCATTTTTTTTTTTGCAAGAGTTACCACTTTTGCAATGTGGAAGGGGGGAGAAGAACCGTGTTAACATTACTTGCCCAATAGTATAACTTGGAGTTATAAACAGCAATAGGTTTCAATTTAAAACTTACAAAAACACAATTTTATTATGTTATACATTACTACTTTAACAATATTTTGTGGTTATGTGTAGATCGGAAGTGCTGAGAATCGAACGTGAACTGGAGGAGGCTCGACAAAGATTGGTGGTCATTAGACAGGCTAAGTATAAGGCTAAAGAAGATGGCACAAGTCCCACTGAACTCCTGGACAATGATTCTTCATTTGAACATCAATTTATTAGTAGCAGGTAAAAAACCCACAATTATACTTACATACCACCTATACTCAATGCTGTAATTTTTTTTATAGAAGAGCTGCTGACCATTATAATAACAGTAGCAGTAGTCTTGATGTGAATGGAGATAACATTCAAACTAATGCTTACAGTGTATACAAGCTTCTCAATAACTCAAATGACCAAACTAGTCTAAATTCATTTAATGAAACGTTCCACTCAGGCACCAATAAATTGTATTCTTACAATAACACAACAGGTATAATATATTTACACTAAGTCTGTAGTTACCATAGTTTGTAGTCTATGAAAACAGAAATTATACAAAATTTATATTTATGTATAAACTATTATTAGTAATACCCAATATCACTCTTGATATTTGTGTTTTTGTAGGGTCAATGGGATCAAACCACAGAAATGTGTATAGCAAAAACTCAATGCCCACTATAAACAACACTGTTAAGTATAATTGCTCATCAACAATCAGTAGCAATGGGACAACGACTACCAAATCATACACAGTCAATGAATAAGAGTGTTTTATTCTTTTATTACTATCTATAACAGAGATTACACATTTTCCCTAAAATACTGCTATTATCTGTTTTCTAACAAACAAACCAGTTGGCACTTATTACTATATACACTTAAATTAATTTATTGTTCATAGTTAGAATCACATGGATTACTCCTCCAATTAACTTTTGAAGATATGTTTCATTATATTACCTGGGTGGTGAAAATCATACATAAGAAACATTAGCTTAAAAATATCAAACATTTGAATCTATACTCAGTTTTCTCGCTAAATCAAAAGTATTGTATCACACTTATACGTGTACTGCTGAAGTGGGTTCATTTTATTCACAAACATTTACTCTCTCTTTTTCTTGTTAGTTCCTAACAAAAGTATACACACAAGCTGTTTTCATTTGAAACTAACACTGTAACTTTTTTACATATAATTATATTTTGTTTATAATACAGTTAGAAAAAAAAATTATTTTCATTTTTCAAAAATTCTAGTCAATTAACCTATTTGAAATATTGTAGCTTTTATTATTGCCATTCTTTTGGATATACATTATTGAATAATAAGTAAAAACTCAAACATATTTGTAACACCAAACATGTTTAAGTAAACAACGACTAACACAATTTATAATTGTAAAGTTACTTTTAAACAATGCTGTAAAATTATTTTTAACATAATAATATTTTTAGTATGGGCTAAAGCATTAGTATTACATATTTTTTTTTTATATATATTAATACTTTAATTAATTTCTTTATTTTCAATAACCGATTAGAATTATTAAGCTGTAATTATTAGCTGTAAATATTACTGGATGGGTATTTTTAACAATTTATATCAAAAACATCGAATTTTATTAACACTCTGTAAACTAAATGATGAAATTATATTATATAAAAAATATACATATATTATATACCTATACATATATATATATATATATATTTTTTTTTTAAGATAGTTTTATTAATACTAAGGGATATATTAAATAGTTTTGAGTATATTAACTAATTGTTTATACAATAAAAGAAGTTACAGTGTGATTACATTTTATTTCTGTAAAAAGAGTTTTAAAAATATTTCAATGAATAATTAATTTTTTTATTAACAATAAACATTATGTTGAATTAAATATTTTTTTCATAATTTGGTCACAGTTGAATACTCGATAATAGAACAAAATCACTAGTTCTTTATTTGATTGAAACAGTTCACTATTTTTCTTTTAATTATTATTCCGAGTGACATTAACAAATTAAGTGCACTTACATGCCTATTTATTTATTATTGTATTACACAATAATCTGTTATTATTTTAATCTATAGTTATGAAGAAACTTCCTTAAAATATTTTTTTTACTTACCCATTACTGTTAAAATATTATTATACTACTTTATTTTAAATGTATGTATTTATCTAGTTTCACTAAATTTGTTAAATTATTTGTTTCGTATCAAATATTATGAATTATATATTTATTTTTGTATTTTATTTACAAGTTTTTTTTTATCACGAGTACCTGTTTTTGTGCCTAATATGAAATAGTATTAGTACTATATTAATACAGTATAAAATGTTGCCATTGTAAATGTTCCGATATGTTAATATTGTGCCGTAAAGATTAAAAATTAAATATACTGTTAGTTATTACATTTTTATTTTTACTGCCATATGTTTATATTATATACATTTTTTTTTCTTTGGTTAACTCTTATATAGTATTCATTTGACTAATTAAAATTTTGGAATACCGATTACAGTAATTGTTATTTTAAATTATATAAAAATAAAAAAAATTATTTATTATTAATAATAATATTGAATTAATACAATTATTTTCCATTGTGATTTTAACATTGTTATTAATTATATATCATAACATAATATTACACATATAAATATTATATATTATTTAAACATATATATATTTTTATACTCAACACAAAGACATTTGTCCAATGTACTATTTGAACTGCATTGAAAATGTGAATGTTTGCAAATTGATTAAATGCACAATGCAATAACATTAGCTTATTTGCAAGAATAGTGACATAAGTAGACTTTAAGTTAAGCCTAACTCAATTTCAATGCTCCCTAACACATAACTCAGTAAAATATACCTTAGGACAATTATTTAATTCTGCAATATAAAAGTACACACTTAAATATTATACATAATTAGTTTACCAGTTCAGTTTACAAATTAATGTATAGATTTATTGAGTTTCCTCTCAATATTATAATATTGGTACCAATAATTATTTAACAGTATATCATAATTTTAATAATGAATGTTAATTATGTATTACAATAAAAAAAAATATATAAAAATTGATAACAAATTTGTTTTGTTTGTCTCTATATTATTATATTATGCACCAAAAATTATAGAACTTCAGAGAAGTTAAATTGGTATAATTATTATACTTAATATTATTTATAATGAAATATTCAAGGAGTGTCGCGATCTAAGAAAAATAATTACCAATGTTGGAAAAGGTACACAGCCAGTACAGCTGCCACAGGGATAGCTGCTAATGGCCTAGCTAGTTCTGTGGCTGCATTACAGTTATCCTCCTCACAGAAGCACATGTGTCCCGTGCCTGTTCCCTCCATCATGCAAACATGGTCCACCATAAACAAGTTGATCTGCAACTGGGACGTGCATGTCCTTTTGATACTTTCATATGCTGTCCAGGCACAATAAAAATGTCAATTAAACATAATAAATAATATATGTATAGATTTTTGGTGGTTCTTATTTGGTGATGGTGCAATTTTTTTAGGACAAATTTTGCGTCCTGTAAGGTAAAGGCTCGTATTTAAAATACATTGGTATTAAATTTATTCTGAATTTTGTTTACATGTAAGAATTGAATGTTTTGTTGTTTGGAAATTATTCAAAAGGAGACTTTATAAGGAGAAAAAAAAAGTATATCAAGCTGTCCATGCTTCTTTCTTTGTGTTAATTATTAATTTTTTCTCAGTTTTCTTAAATTTGGTCAAAATATCTGGTATATCAATGATTTTTAGCATAGTGCATCTTTGATAATTATTTGAACATTTAATATGGATAATTCTGTGTCAACTATTAATAATTAATTACGTAACTAAAATTAATTAAATAATTATTATTATCATTTAATTATAAAATTATTATAGTTATTGTATGCTCTATTGTAATAACATATTTGCTGTATAAACCGAAAACAGGTGACATGTGGTAACCTAACCTAACCTAAAGATGATTATAAAGAGATTCTATGGTTTACCCTTATTTATTTGAGTTCTCTGATATTAGATAAAAGTTTCATTTTATACTCCGGGAGCTTCTATCATACTCGTTTTATGGCCAAAACAATGTAAATAGTTTGAATATTTTATTTTCCGAAATAAATTTAAACTAATCAATGAAGAAAGTGTAGCAGTTTGTCATACTACAATGTCGTTGTCTTACACTATATTGAAGCATGGTTCACCAATCCATCAGCACCAAAAACTCCAAACCATGATCTCTAATTTTTGTAAAAGCCCCATGATTACCAGTTGAAAAATTAGAAAAAAACAAAAGCTACAATACAAACATTTAGAATTCATTTATAGTAATCTCAGCCCAAAAGCTGTAGAACTGGTTTTTTTTTATGAAAACTTATCAATGGATATGAAACGTAAGATGATAATGAAGTTAAATAAAAACGTTGACAAAAAATAATATTTTAATGCTTTCATTACATCTCAAACAAGACATATTTTTGAAGGATTTGATGTCTATGCTAATTGTTTGCAAATCGATCCAAAATTATCGGCCAGAAAATAAAGACTTAAATGGCTTGAAAATTGTAACAGAACTGCGAGTGTATTGGTTAATTAATTTTTGGGTACACGCACTTTTGAATAATATTTTATGACAAAAAAAATGTTCTCACTACGTCCTAAATATGAAAATATTAGAAATTTGTGTACTTTCTTTTAAAATATGAACTTTTATTATCATTTTAGATTCTGAATGTAGTGAAGAATGTATTGGTTTTAAAAAGATGTTTATTTTTTTTTTTTATGTAAACACTTTCTACTAGAAAGTGTACAGTGAAAAACATAGGGAAGATTTTACATTGTATAAGAAAATACCTGACAGACCATCAGGGCCTATGGCCTTCACATTTTTTAGGGCATCTATACTAGCTTCAATATTGAATGAGCAAGTATTAGGCAGGTCATGGAACAAAAAAGGAGAAGAGAAGTCATTGGACATAGGTAGAACACAGAACGAATTGAAATAAATGGAAAATAAATTAGAAACTGATTCAGTGTCCAACTTTATAAGTTATTATTTATTTATATGGCCTAGATAACACACACATTTAGCAATAAAAATTAATAAAAATAAATGAAGCAATAAAAACTAACATATAAAATAAATTGTATAAGATAGTATAAAATAAAATAAACTTTAAATTGGTAACAGATTTTTTGGTATATATTATGATAGATGAGTTTTATTATATTTTAATGTCTTAGTCTTCATTTGATTGCATCCGTAGTAACTTTATTGAGCTTAACTAGTCCTCCTGGATATGATCTTATAGGACAATCCTCAACAATGTGGTTAGAGGATTGGATTTGGTAGCTGCAGTCGCATTGCGGGGAGGCCCTTATGCCCCATGGAAGTAACATTTATCCAGTGCGTCCATATTTTGTTCTGAATCTGTTCAGTGTTAACCACTGTCTCCTGGGGAGTTCAATTCCAAGGCGTTTCCCTGAAGATTGGTCAAAAAAATGATTTATGTTAATATTGCTTGTTCTCCATTCTTTGATCCGTTTCGAAATTATGTTTAATTTTTCCGTCAATTTCCAAGAAAGTTTCCTGGATTTTAGTCTTTGTGTTGGGCCAAAATTAGTACAGTCATCATGGATAGCTAGAGTGGTGATCCTGGTGCATTTGCTCCATTCACGTATCAGTGAGTTCTGCCAACAGAGGTGAGAAGAAGCAATGTTACTAAGAACAGGGAGCCATTGGGTAAGTGTTGATTTGACCGCACCAGAAATTGTTCTCATGGCTGAATTTAATTTAACATTGATTTTGTTTACGTAAGCACTATTGACCTAACCCGGGGCGCAGTATTCAGCTATAGAACACGTTAAGGTCAATTTTGAGATTCTTAGTGTTTAGGAGTCAGCACCCCACGAGGAGTTGGCTAGTTTTCGGATTAAATTATTTCATGTTTTTATTTTTTGGGTAGTTTTAGTTAGGTGTTCTTCATAAGTTAGTGTTCTGTTCAACGCAATTCCAAGATAAGTAGGATTTTGATTATTTTTTACTTTTTCATTATTGAATAGTATATTTATTGTTTATTTCGCCTGTGTATTATTTAAACGAAATAGTGATATTTATGTTTTGGAGTGGTTAGGTTTTAGTCTCCAGTGCTTAAAATAGTTACTCAGGACATTGAGGTTTACAGACAGTGTTTTTTTGCATGCTTCTAAGTTTCTATCTTGATATGGAAATGTCATCAGCATAAACGAATTTCCGTGCTTTAGTTGTGGGGACATCATGGGTCAAAAGGTTAAACAGCAGAGGTGCAAGTATAAACCCTTGTGGTAACCCATTATTTAATTCTCTCTATCTGATTTTTTTATCCTTTAGGACTACCATGAACAGTCTGTTACTCAGCATATTATTAATTATTCTGTTTATTGTTTTATATGGGATTACTTATGTAAGTCTAACCAACTATATTATCTATAGATACTATAGAAATAGTTCAACAAGTAATTTTTTAGGGGTGGTGATGCTCTAATTGCCATCCGTAGTGATATAGTATCTAATTTAATTTACACTTCAGCTACTAAAGTTGAGCACCTATTTTTTAAACTTAGTTTTAATAATATCAACTATGCAGTGTAATTTCCCCCTAATTTCCCAATTTCTGCTTACAAGTCTTTTATGTCCGCTGTGCATTTTGTTCTTCTTCTTCAACCTGATTGTATATTCGTTTTTTGTGGGGACTACAATCTTCCAGATATTATATGATCCAACGACGATTTTAGTTTAATATACAACACGGTTTCCAATCCTAAAGTTCAATGTGTTCCTGATGTTTTTGCGTTTTATAATATCTTCCAACTCAATGACATTCAAACCTCTTCTAAGTGTATCTTGGACCTTATGTTCTCCAATGATAGCAAAGTATATATCATAAAAGCTATAACGTCGGCGGTGCCTTGTGATCCTTATCATCCGGCTTTTGAAGTTATAATAAAACTCGATAAAGTCTCTCACAGTTATTTTGGCTTTTTCCATACTCCTTATATTAAAATATGCGAATTTTTAGATTTATTTTATTGACTGGAGACCTTAATGTCTCCGATTGGTTCTCTAAAAATCTTAAACATATTGTGTTTAGCAAGAAACGTACACATGTTAAGTTTAAATCTTCACGCTGTCCTCTTGATTATGCGGTATTCTCTTTGCTATAAGACTGAATATAAGAAATGCCGTACTGCCTTCCTGTCTCGAACTGAGTCTATGCTAAAATCTAATCCTAAGTCGTTTTGAGATTTTGTCCGATTTTATAAGTCCAACAATGAGATTTCCCACTCTGTACACTTTGATAACTTACATAGCTCGGACACTGAGTCAGTTTCTAATTTATTTTTCATTTACTTCAATTCAGTATATGTTTGTCGGGATGCAACGGTAAATCACTTCCCCACAATTCATCCCGGGCAACGTCTTAGACGGCTGAAGATTTAGCACTACCGACCTTCGTACTGTTCTCACGAATCTCACGGATATATGTACACACTTACATACATACATACTTACAATGCAAATCCATACAAACGGCCTTTCTCAAGATCTTTTGACTCGAGATGTGGGTCCTCAACTTCGCATCTTACAACTTAATATAGAAGGAATCAGCGAGAACAAAAATGATTATATATCAAGTCTATTGCATGAAAATAATGTAGTATTACTAGTCCTACAGGAAACTGATGCTAAAAACAAAAACGAGCCCTCAAACAGAGGCGCCATTGAAGGGTTTACTTTAACCTCTGCCACTAAACATAAGAAATATTGTTCAGCAACTTATATTAAAAACGACATCTCTGATTGGGAACATATAGCCTTATCAGACAAGAATAATGTGTCACGTATACATATAAGGGTTGAGGAAACAAATTTTATAAACGTTTACAAATCTCTTGGAGTAAATTGCCCAAAATGAATACAATTCATTTATGATTATTTGAAAGTATGTAGGTAAGTAATTTGTGTATTATTACCTACTGAATTAATTTAAATATTTAATAAAAAAAACAAGAGCTGATACTGGGAATAGAAGCAGTCAATAATGTAGGTGAGAATTCGGGAAGGTAGGGTATAAAAGGTTATTTCTTTTATATCTGTAAGCAACGATACACCATTGCTTGACGAAAGACAATTCCAAGTGCAGTTCGGTAATACGTAATTTTTTTTTGCGATTTTCGTTTAAACTTGATTTCAAAACTCTAATTAAAAAAAAAAATTCGTCCAATGATTTTCAAAATTTGACCACGGCTAGGTAAGTCTAATATAAGTATTATTACCGAGTTTCTATGTGTATTTATAACCGAATCACAGCAAAAAACTCCCAAAAATTAAAATTCCTTAATATTTCAAAAGTGGCTCAAAAGTTTTGGCAATAAT